ATATAGGGTTAAAAGTATGCAAATAAAATGAAACGATAAGATATAAACTAAAGATATCGATATTCATACTAAATTTGTATATTCTAAAAGTATGTTAATATTAAAATCCTTAAAATGAAAATATGAATTTAGTATCTTAATATTAAAAAGCCTTAAAATGAAAATACGAATTTGTGAGTTTCTCCTCCGTTTTTTCGAATTTTCAACTCCAAAGCTAGTGTTCGATTTTGTTTATTTCTTTAAATGGCCGACACATATGCACCATGCATATGGCAGTGCCACGCCCACCGTTGTTGCATACGGGCTCTCAACCAACCAGCCTCAGCCTCCGTTTGCCCCCTTCTTTCAAACACCCTTGTTCGCCATTTTGTGTACGTTTTGCATGCTGATGATAATCGCCAAAGCACAAACAAACAAGCAACGAAATAAAAAGCAATTGTACCCATAGAGTGGAAAATAGAACAAATTTGTCATAGATATGTATTGTATGCACCCAAGCACGGCTCAAGTAATAGCAAAAAAACTTGAATACGTGATTTTTAAGGCTGTTAGTGAATTAGTCATTTAATTCTGAATATTTTACAAATTAAAAAAAATTACATTACATTTTTTATTGATGATTTCTTATTTTGGGATGTAAAAACTTCTTTAAAAACTAAACCTTTGAAGGTTTATTGTTGGTACTATAATTTTCGATCCGATATTCACTTTAAAAGGGAAGTGCTATTTTCGTGACTGCACCTGTAAGCGGGTTGCAATGGTGGATCCCCTGCCAAACTGAAGGTGACAGATTCGCGATAGGCTTCACTGTGGGTGTTCCATTTGTCACGCAGCGAAGAGGGTGAGGGGGGTGAGGAGGAAGGGGCAACAATGGGAAGCGTCCCCACACCACCGTTCGCCAATTTAGGTCAAACCAGCCAGCCACAATGCAACCGATGTGCTTTTCCCTTCCCCCTTTTTCTGCATTTTCCTTCTTCTCCCTTCCTCTAACTCAAACACCCCTCACACAGAGCAAAAAAACGCATTTTGATGAATATTATTAAATTGAGTTGAATTTTGTAAAAGTTCGTGAAATGGTTTCATAGGCTCCGCAAACAAAGGACAGAGTTCAAAACCTACCCACGGGCCAAGGAATTTGTATATATTTTTTTATAGGTTGATATTGATTTCTAAAGTAAATTATTGAAAATTAATATTTTTCCCCGTGCAGCTTTAAGCTGAAAAACAAGTTTTCCTTCTCCATATGTTGACAAATCAAATTCCTTCTGTGCTTTTTTTTTATTATTATTTTTTACCATGGGCGTTTTGCAAAGAACTAGTGGAAAAGGGGCAAAAGATATTCTTGCTAAAGAAACTAAAGGAAAAAACTAACCTTTGCCGATTGCAGATTGTACGCATGTGTGTGTGTGTTTGTTTGTCAGCAACTTGTGGAATGTGCCATGAAAATAGAACAACGCACATAAATACATACATTTGCTACAAACGTGCGTATGTACAAGTGTATGTTTATGGCACATGCGTCATTCAGCGCAGTGCAAGTACCATGTATTCATATATTCATGAGACAAAAATAAAGTTGCAATACAAGAAAAAAAGTCAGCCAGCAGGTTTCCGACTTTTTCATTCATAAAAATTATACAAAAAGAAAGAAAGAAAAACAAAGAGGAAGGATGAAAGGCAAGCACACACACACTGCACTGATAAAGCAGCATCTGCATCAGTATCTGTGTGTGTTGGTGTCGGTGTGAGTGCATTGAGCGCCGCCTTTTTTATAAGAGAGATAAAAGCTAAAAGAAAAACAAAAAATAACAAAAAATAAATACGCGAGGGCGCCGCATGTTGTACGTGTATACATATATTGATTGGATTTGCCAGTGTATGCCGATGCATACATACAGCTATGCGCAAAAGAATAGTAACGAGTTACACTTCCCTTTAAATTTTAAAGTGTTTTCACTTTTTTTTAATTTTAATAGATTGCTTTCTATGACTGATTTAAAAAAAAATCTCAAATATTTTCGGTTCATAAAAATGGATATTTTCTCAAAAAGCTTAATTGTTACTTGAATTTAGGCTGCCAGATTATTATTATTAATGGAATAAATAATCTAAAAAATTGTTCATTCATACAAATATTATCATTTGCAAAACTACTATTCTTCTGCCCGTGTCTGTATTGCATTTAGGTTGCGCATTGATAACAAAAAGAGCAAGAAAGCTTTTCCAGGTGCGACGAGTCTGAATATATGTATGTATGTGTGCGTGTTTGTGTGATTGCGCCAGAGGTCATTTGCTTAGAATCGGTCACATGTCAGGCAAAAACAACAACAGCCAATGTATGAATGTGTGTGTGGGCACTTAGTAAAATGAAAACAACCACAACAAAACAAGAAAAAAAAAATATTGTAAAATTGTTGCACAGACTAGTGGTTAATGACTGTGAGCGCGACAGAGATAGAGAGTGCAGTGGCGATGAGCGAGAGAGCGGGAGAGGGAATGATGCGCTCTCCTCTCTTCTCTTATTGGATGCAGCCGGTGTACTAGACGCAACAACAACACAACGCAACGTCAACGAACTGCAACTTGTCATTTGCATCGAAGGGAACAACAACAAACAACAAGCGCAGATGTGACGCATGCGCTCAGCTCAGCAATTACAGTTAGCCGACACAGTTTGACAGCCACTGGGGAATGGAATGGAATGGAGTGGGGGAATATCGAATTCCAGCGAATCCAAGATTTTCAGCGCAACAAGAAGAAGACGAGAAGGAAAATAGCGAACGGTGGCAGAATTTGCTCCACGTTTCGCCTGTGGTTCCTGGAAAAGCGCCACAGCCCGAGAAATCGCTTGAGAAATGTGCTGGCCTAAGCGAGAAAAAAATAAAACCGGTCAAAGCGGGAGTGCAAAGTGGAGAAAATAGCAAAACAAAAAAAAAACCGGAGGGTGGTCTGTGAATGGCAAATGGAATTGGAATGTCGGAATGCGAATGAGTCGATCTTTCTCTTGAGCTCTCTCTTCTTATTTTACAGTAACTTAAAAACATATGATCCTGACGATGACTTTATCACAAATTATATCACAATACTACATTTAAGGTGATACTTGATGATTTTACTATCTAAACATGTATTAAATTGAACAAAGTTAAGTAAAATTAGTGAAGTTTTCGAAAAACTATTTTTCCTAACACAGCTGTACATTCATAGTTTGACATTCACGCATGCGGTTTGACAGCTAATTAAAGATCATTCACGAAAGGGAGTTAAACCACAAACAACGTGTGTGAGAATCCAAAAAATTGAAACTGTTAATTAAGAAAAGCGCCAAACACACAAGAGCGAAGGAGATTACAGAGGAAAACAAAAAAAAATCAGCTCCACGCGTCTCCTCTTTTTTCATTTCTTCTCGGCCTCGACTCGTCTCATGCCTCTCCTCTTCTCCTCCTTTTTGGGGCTTTCTTGCCTTGTTGTTGTTTTTGTTTTTTTTGTTAGCTTGGTGGCGACGGGAGTGAAATTACTTCCAAGAAAAATAAACACGATATTAAATGTGCAACATTCCAGGCGTCGTTTGCGTTTGCCTTCGTCGTCGTCTTCTCCCGGTCTTATTTTTATTCTACTCTGTTTTTGGTCTCTTCGAAGATCAACAACAGCAGCAACATTGTTACAGAGAAAATAAATTCTACAAGTATAAAATTTACAGAGTACAAAAAAGCATTTAAATATTTTCTATAATTTAATTCAAATTAAAACATTTCTCAAAATAGTTTTTCTAAATGAAATCTAAAATTAAATTAAATATCCCTTATGTAATTATATTTTTCTTGCTGTGTAAAAAAAAGCTTGATCTTCTCTTGCTCTTTTGCTGCTGCTCATTCTCATTATTATTGCAATGCCGTCAGGGCAGCAGGATGTTTACAAACTCGAACTTGGTCTTTTCCTCAAATCGAAATAAAATTTAATTGGTTAGGAACAGGGATTTTAAAATCGAACCTCTTTGAAAACATTGTGCATTATTTCGATCTGTCTTGAACTTCAAATACATTTTTGGGCTCGGTTTAAATATTTTGTATTTTGTATTAAAACTAAATGATTTTGAAATGTTTCTCTATAATAAATAAAATGTCAAATAAGTTACAAATAACTACATTTTGTTGACATTTCGGGGGTAGGAGTATCGATATTGGTAGATATTGATCCTATTCTTACGCACTCACAGTCATAATTCCGCCCTTTGTGTCTTGCTTTGGATTTGAATGTAATTTTTTTGCACACATATCATACACCCGCATAAAAAGCACACCATTTCCGGGGATTTGTGCTAACTCCCATCTAAATCCCAAAAGTCACCCTACAAAAAATATATTTATGTATTAAACCGAACCCAAATCATTTGTATTGTCACGCTCGCTCAAATAGCTTTTTAGATGCTAGTTCGCTTGATCTCGCTCTGTCTTTGTGTTTATCTTTATCTGTACTCTCTCGGTGCTGCCGGAATCTGGGGGAAAAACTAGCAATATATGTAAATGGAAAAGAAAATATTATGACACTATTTTTCTTGTAAAAAAAACACTTGTTAAACAGACTTGAAAGCTGTAGACGGATTTCTATTTCTTTATCTAGTATTGTTTGTTAATAGAATCCTACGAGTGTTTCGCAATTTTTTTTTAAGGATTTACTGAAACCTTTTTCGGTAAAATTCTGGCAACACTACTTTCTTCCTAGCTTCTCGACAGCACTCTCTTTAACCGACTGCTTTCTCTTTACTACCACTACTTACTAACTTTTCTTTTATTAGCATATATTTTCTTATCTAATTCATTTTCCCATTTCCCCCCACTCACCCACTTCCGTCCCTCTTGTTTTTGGACTACTATCATTACCACTACTACAACAACAACCACTACCACTTCTACTTGTACTACAACTACTACTATTTTTGTTTCTTTTGTGTTTGTTTGTTTTTCTTGTTCTTGTGTGTTTTTACGCTATTTTCTTCACAGTGTTACGACATCAAAAATCTTAATAAGCGGCATACCGATGCAAACACGTTTCGAAGACATCGAACCGCTACTGAAGCCCTATGGCATCGTCAAACAGTGTGAGGCTATTTCTAGTAAGGATCAAAATACTCAAACAGTACATATAACATTCGAAAATCCTGAGCAGGCGCAAAGGTATATACCCAAAACTACTCATTTAAGAACTATCTAAATCATCTAAATCGAAAGCTCTCTAAGGGGATATTTCAGCCTAGCACCAGATACCAGATACGAGTCTTTCGTGGGTGTCTAGTGTTAGGCGTGGAAAGAATTACTCATATGTATTATCTCTATATTGGGGAAGGGGAAAAGGAAGGGGCAAAGATTTGGGGACTATATTATCGGAGTTGTGCAGGATGCGTTTGTGTGTGGCTTACCTAACCCTCTTCCCATATTTTAAATTTCTTCCAAATCTCCCAAATCTCTTAATCAATTGGCCTTGCTCTCCCAAAACTATACAAAACTAAGAAATTTACTAAAATACAATGATTTAAGGATATTTTAGTAGACATATTAATTATATAATATGCTAATAAACTTTTTAGAAAGCTAAAGTGTCAAATCTTAAATTATTTAAATTCTGTTGAATTCAATGAATGAGAACTTGAAACCTTTAGTTAAATTCTTATAACTTCAATTTCTGAAGACTGAACTTTATAAGTTTAATTCAATTTCCATGAATATTAAATCAAATATTAAATTATTTAAATGTATGAATGAGAACTCGAAACCTTTGTTTAAATTCCTATAACTTCGATTTCAGAAGACTGAACTTTATAAATTCAATTTAATTTCCATGAATAATTTAAATTCGTTCGCTAGCTGAAAAAAACGAGCAAATTTCAGTGAAATGAAAATGAATATACGTACCCATACATATTTTATTGAAGTGATACAAGACTAGATGGGATATTAGCTGATTTTCTAGAGAACTCTCAATGCAGCTGTTGTCTGGAATCAAGCATTTGACTAATCAATATCCCCCCACCATTCCCTCTCCCCCACAGAGCTGCTGGTGGTCTGAACGGTGTCGAGTTCGAGGGCAGCAAGCTGCATGCCGAGCAGCTGGACAAGAACCAGCGGCGTAGCCAGCGCAACCAGCGCAATCCGTACCCGGGAATGCCCGGCCCCGGACGCCAGGCGGACTTCCCGCTGCGCATCCTGGTGCAGAGCGAGATGGTGGGCGCCATCATTGGCCGCCAGGGCAGCACCATCAGGACGATCACACAACAGAGCCGTGCTCGCGTCGATGTCCATCGCAAGGAGAACGTTGGATCGCTGGAGAAGTCGATCACGATCTATGGCAATCCGGAGAACTGCACCAATGCCTGCAAGCGCATCCTGGAGGTGATGCAGCAAGAGGCCCTCTCCACGAATAAGGGGTGAGTTTTGTGAATTGTCTCGGCATCTCGACCATATAATAACTAAAACCCCTGATTATTGCAGAGAAATTTGCCTCAAAATACTCGCCCACAACAACTTGATTGGACGGATCATTGGCAAGTCGGGCAACACCATTAAGCGGATCATGCAGGACACCGATACGAAGATCACCGTCAGCTCGATCAACGACATCAACAGCTTCAATCTGGAGCGCATCATCACGGTCAAGGGATTGATTGAGAACATGTCGCGTGCCGAGAACCAGATTAGCACCAAACTGCGCCAGAGCTACGAGAACGACCTGCAGGCGATGGCGCCGCAGAGCCTCATGTTCCCCGGTCTCCATCCCATGGCAATGATGTCGACACCGGGCAACGGCATGGTCTTCAATACGAGCATGCCGTTCCCCTCGTGTCAAAGCTTTGCCATGTCCAAGACCCCGGCCAGCGTGGTTCCGCCGGTCTTCCCCAACGACCTGCAGGAGACCACCTATCTCTACATACCGAACAACGCTGTCGGCGCCATTATCGGCACCAAGGGCTCGCACATCCGCAGCATCATGCGCTTCTCGAACGCATCCCTCAAAATAGCCCCCCTCGACGCCGACAAGCCGCTGGACCAGCAAACGGAGCGCAAGGTGACGATTGTTGGCACACCGGAGGGTCAGTGGAAGGCGCAGTACATGATCTTCGAGAAGATGCGCGAGGAGGGCTTTATGTGCGGCACGGACGATGTGCGCCTAACGGTTGAGTTGCTAGTGGCCAGCTCTCAGGTAAATAAATATAAATTTACATGTAACTAGAACATGTATTAAGCAGGGACCGAAAATAACTGTAATTGTAAATTTTTCTTACCAAAAAAATCATGCACTTAGAAGAGTCCTAAAATTTTTTTAAATACATCATTATTTTTGTTAGCCACTGTAGTTTACAAATTTGATTTTATTTGATTTTTATAGTATTCAAAAAAATACCTGTTATTTGATGATGTTTATGTATAACAGTTATTCCCTTGACATTTAAAAAAAATTAAATAATTTAAAAAAACATGCTAACCGTGTTTTATAAACCTTACTAAAAATCTTTAAAAAAAGCCAACCGTGCATATTGTATAACTATATTTTATTTAAATTTGTTTTACCCAAAAAATCGCCATAAATCAAGGTTGTCAACTTTTATTATAAAACTCAAAAAATAACAGTTATTCTTTGAGCTTTACTTTACGAATCCGAAAATAACTGTTAAAATGTGATTTTTAACATAATTATTGGATCTGGATCCAACGCTAAACGCTTAATATTAACCTATCCGAATTTATTGCGCATCTAGGTGGGCCGCATTATTGGTAAGGGCGGCCAGAATGTTCGCGAATTGCAGCGCGTGACGGGCAGTGTGATCAAGTTGCCTGAGCACGCTTTGGCGCCTCCCTCCGGCGGAGATGAGGAGACACCGGTGCACATCATCGGACCTTTCTACAGCGTACAGGTGAGAGACTTGCCAGCGTTTATTATCCTTACAAGCAAACTAACTAAATTAACCTTATTTTTCAGTCTGCACAGCGACGCATTCGAGCCATGATGCTATCCACAAATCCGCCGCCAATCACCAAAAAACAGAAAGCTGCCAAAGAACAATTGCAACAACAGCAACAGAGCCTAGCCGGAGCTGCGACCAGCGGGTCTCAGCAGCAGCAGCAGCCACAGTCACCATCGCAACAGCAGGCGCTGCCGCCGCAATTGCATCATCAGCCTGTGTCGTCGGCGTCGTCATCGTCGACGCCACCTGCACACCATCAGCAGCAGGCGTCGACGGCAGCGAGCGCCCACCAGTTGCAGCAGCAGCAGCAGCCATCGCCGCCGCCACCTGGCAATGCAACTGCGGCCGCAGCCCAGCAGCAGCAGCTGGCTAGCTCACAGCAGTAAGGAGGAAGGAATCACCGATGAAGGAGTGCCGGCGCCGCAGCAGAAACATCAACAGCAGCAGCAACAACAACAGCAGCAGAAGCAGCAGCAGCAGCGACAGCGCCAACAATAGCCAAGGCAGGGTTTTCTACTATTGATACTACCTCCACAACAACACACCCATAATCTTCAAACCCCCCCAGCCCAAGAACCACCCAAAATTTACAACCCTATAATTACAAGCTAACCGTAGGCGCCACCTTTGTGCTGGCACAGGCGACGGCAAAAGTAAGCAAACAACCTGGAGCAGTAACATAAACAAAAAATCATATACATATATATATATATATAATAGGGGAACAACTACATCAAAAAAAAAAAAGTGAGCCGCGTGAAGAAGCTCTACTAGTTCATAACAGTGTAATGCAACTTTAACAAGAAGAACATCAATCAAACACACACAGCAAGAATAACCATAACAACATTCTTCATTTGCATACTAAGAAATAAAGAGAAAACCTTAAATAGAAAGCGCTATCGTTCGCCCGAACCACTAAGCAGCAACAACTAAAAAACAAACTTTGTGTTGTTGTTCGTTCGTTCTGTTAGGTGTAAACTTTTGTGTCGACTGAGAATTTGAATTCGACACCGCCCAAACAGTTTAATCATTTTTACAAAAGTAAACAATATTTTCAACAACCATTAAACAACAACACAAAGAGTGAAAGTAACTAAAGAGAAAACCCCCCAAAACTAACAACCCCACAAATTTGAATGCAAGAAGGGAATTAAAGGATAAAGGAGGAAAGTTTAGTAGTGTATGCGTTATATTTTTTTTAAATATATTTAACTATAAAACGTTTATTTTTAATTATTTTTTTTTAACAAAGATTTAGTAAGCTTATATTTAAGTGGAAAGAACAGAAGGAGAGAAGTGAGCAAAGCGAAAGAGAATGAGATTGAGAATCGAGCAGAGAAAAAAAACGAGAGGGACAAACGTTAGTTTGATCCCAAGAGAACCGAAAATTGTACACAAACAGAACATATAACCAAGAAATATCAAAAAAAAAAAAGAGAAAATTACAATACAGACATGGAAAGCAACAGAAGCGTCAGAAAACACAAATATATACCTATTTTGAGCCCACATCCACAACAACAACAACAAAGGTGAAGAAAGTTTCCAACGAGCACTCATTTCTGGGTTATAAAAATGTATAACAGTTGATAAAGTTATGTGTACAATGTGCGACAGTTGATGCAACTGTTGGCGCCCCTTACGTTATACGTAGTATAACAGACCTCAACCCAAAACCCAAACCACCAAAAAGAAACAACTATCTATGTATACAATATCGTTAAGAGCTGTACTGGATACTGGATGGATTGATGGATGGATCAGTGTGTATATTGGGACTATATTGATAGGAAGGGATGCGGATGGAACCAGAAACGCCAGCGAGAGCAATGTTTACTGTACTGTACAGCTGTAAAATAGTTTTTTCGATGCCTAAAACGTTGTATGTATATGAATGGATACGTATGGATACGGAGACCAGTCATTTTTTTTGCGAGGGAAAGAGTTACATGAATTGTTGATTATACTTAGTGCGAAAGCAGCCGAAGGAGACATACATAAGGACGGAGATGGAGATAGGAACGCTAAAGATGATAGTGTTAAAGAAAACTATTGTAATGTGTTTGCCTTGAAATGAAAACAAAACTAACTAGAAATGAAATAACGGTGCTGAAATGTTAATTTTTTTTAATCGATCGTTAACGTTAAGTGTTACGTTATAACGTTTGAGCGTGTATGAGAGACAAGCTGTTATACGAGGATGGGACACTGCACTACACAAGAATATAAACCTAAACCCAAAACCCAAACCTATACCAGCCAATCTGAACCCAAATCAAAGTCTAATTCATAGCCACAAAGCAATCAAAACCGGAGGATGCATTTCGTAGAGATCGTAATCGTAGCGTAAACAGATGAACAGACAATATATTTAACCATATGACCAAACACCATAGCTAGAGGCCGCAACCCAAGTAACTGAATCGGAGCAACAACAATCAAACTACAATCTACACCAGCCAAAACAAGCAACAATAGCAATAGCCCAATTTTGTGTTGTTTTTAAATAGCTATTATCCAATTAGTAACCATACAATTTTTTTATTTTTTCTTCTAACGTAAATATTTAACTAATTGATATTCCATAGAGTTAATGTTACAAACTAGTGGGACGTACAGTCAACCAAATCAAATCGAATTGAACACCCAATCCCTAGCGATCCAATCCTTTTGTTTGTATAACACTTGCTTCGAAGGCAGACAGTTTCAAAACACCACATGAAAATCAAGGCAAATTCGACATTTCGGCAAAACAAACAGCAAACCTATAAAAAAATTCAACATTTCGGTCTAACAAGCAACAACAAAACTAAAAACTTTTGAGCGGCACATTATTTTGGATGAACAAAAGATAAGATGAACAAAATTTTTGGACAAAAACTCAAAGCCAACAAGAAGCGTGTACAAGCTTTAGGACAGCCCAATTTTTTGAAATATCACACTTTCTTTGTTCTTTTTCACGAAGAAACAAAAGAAAACAAGCAAAAGCAGAAAAGATGAAGAAATTTGAAGAAGATTGAAAAAGTAATTAAAATACCTCAATGTAAGTGCATTATCTTCTACAAAAAAATATAAAAAAATATGACTAAAACTAAAAACAAACTTGCAAAGCGTAAAAATGGATAAAAATGCAAAAAAAAATCCTAATGAGAGAAAACGAATTATGAAAAGCCAACCCTAAAAATAAATGTAGATTATAAGCAAACAAATAAAAGAACTATTAATGAATGAATCAAACAATACGAATCTAAACAGAACCGGAATCAGCAAAACAAGCATTGGAGAAGGCATATCACCAAGTCACAGAAGAAACAAACGCATTTCGACGAGAAGTCTTCTGAAAGACAAATGCAGGCGAATAGATATTTTACCAAAAGTTTCTATAAGCAAAAATCAAATCCGAACCGAAACTAATTCAAATCAAATAAAACCCACAGCGACCAATCAAACAATCACACACCCACCAAAGCCCTTCGCGAAATAGTTTTGGGTCAAACTCCCCACCCAGGCCATATGTACCATACCAACTGAAGCAGATCAACCTAGAACAGAGGGATATAGGAGATATGAGATATAGGATGAGCAGGATGCGATTAGGAGGGATGGGAAGTGTATATAAGAATGTTGCGGGGCATTAACATTGATCTTTATATACGAGAAATCAGGCCGCTGTATATGTATATATATGCGATATATATGTGTATGTTGAAAATGCGTGACATTTTGTTTTGTTATACTTGAGAATCTATATATGTATATCTATATATATATATATGTATATAAATCTAATAAATTTCCCCTCTTGTTTATAACGAATAATTATTCAAGCTAATTATACCCCTTTTATTTTTTTCCATGGAAAAATGTCCAAAGTTGTCAATATAAAGACATTTACATATACATATATATCTATATATAGATATGTGGATCTATGCTTAAATACGATATTTATAAAGAAGAAGGAACGGAATTTTTCTAAAAGATTCCAAACAGGAAAGAACAAAGAAATGAAAATTATTATTCCAAATGCTGAATCAAAGGAAAGTCAGATCGATGATCGATTATCGCTGATCGATGAAAGGGATGAGTTAATAATTTAGCTATAGCTCTGGTTTATTTTGACGGGGGGTTAAACGCGATAAAAGATACAAATAATATAACTGATGACAGAGATCGACGGAAACAACTGAAAACTTGTGAGTTAGCGTGCGCGTTAAAAACGAAAACAAAGATAAGAATAAAGATAATGATAATGATGTAGAAAGAGAACTCAGTTGAAGAACGAAGAACGAAGAGAGAGGAAAGCGATTGTGAGAAGTGTGAAAAGCAGAAACGAAATTATTTTTTAGTATTTAGAGGCTATTTTATATCGTTATTAAAGCAGGTAGGAAAGTGAGGCAACGGTTAGGAAAAGAGCTGAGATGATAAAGATGATGATGATGAGGGAAAAATACCAGCAGTAAAAGCGAAAAATGAATGGCAGTTTAGCGAGAAAGTTAAATTTTAACCAAATGGGAAATCGAAAGAATAGGGCAAGACTCGAAAAACCAAAACTGGCATGGGTGTAGTGTAGCATTTAGCATTTCGAAATCCCGAATACCAAATCCCAGAGTACAGTCGACACCAAATGTACAAAGCTTTTGGCGTACAATCTACTTACAAGGTTGCTACCAGTTCTAAACATTGCATTTTACTATTTACTACAATCCAGTTTCTATTTTTCAAACATTTCTCCAACACTCATGCCGATTTTGTACAGTTTTTCTTTCCGCAGAACGTTAAATTGAGGGAAAAAACATTGTAAAAGAGAAAAAGAATAATGAGAAAAGTACTTTTTTGTGTTGTAAGTTGTGCCAAGTACTGATAACGTTTAAGGTGTGATAAACTCGTTTTTAAATTTAACAACTATTTAAACTATAAAAACTACTTACTAAAACAAAACAAAAAAAAATTAAAATTTATAAAAAAAAAACACTTATTATTTAACAACAAAAAATGCTTTTGATGTACATTTTATACACAAACACACACACACACGCGCAAGAACCAACATTACAAAAACACACACCAACCCACAAAAGTACTTTGACAGCCGATTTCTTTTGGGAATAGGGAATAGGAAAAGACAGGAATAGAAACCCTAAAAACATCAATCAAAAACAAAAACACGTACATATAAAATCAACAACAACAATTTGCTTTGCTACCGGAATTCAGAAGATTTAATTTAATTTTGATTTATAAATATAATTTAACATAAAACAAAAGCAAACAAGTTTGTACTCTTTAGAAATGCAGTGAAAAGGAAGTGAAAGGACAAAGAGGTAATCGATGTCGATGAAAAAACGATAAACTCTTTACAAGCATAAAAAATGTTATGAAACACGGATTAAGGGAAGAATACTTTTTTAAAAAGGAATATTTTTTTATATATGTACATATATATAAATATTTACAAAGGAAAACTAAACGAAAGGAAGGGAAAAACGTTTTTAGCGGTACAAACATGAGTACAAATCAAGTTTTATTATTTTTTTAAATATTTTTTTTTGTCTATTATGAGAGTGGAAATTTACCTATCGGAAGGAGTTTTCTTTAGGCATATACAAAAAAACCGAGTTGTTTTTTTTCTTCAATTGTTAGGCGCGTAAAAGTTAGAGCGAGACAGCAGCAGCAGCCGAATTAGGTAGCCAGACAGAGAGAGGAACAGTTGATTAATGAGACATTCTATTAAAGCGAAGATAAGGATTAACGATAGGGATAACGATATAAAGCGAGTTTAACCATAAGTCAAGCTTGACAACCGATCAGCCACGAGCAGAAACAGCAAACATAGAGCAGAAAGCAGAAGAACAGGCAGAGAACCGTTAGCCACGCAGAGAAAGCAGGAAGAAAGCACGAAGAAACAAGAGCAAATAGCCCAAAAAGCCAAGCCGCCACTCACACAGTGAAAATGAGAATATGAATATGAAAATAACGAAAATCGCAAGTAAAATTCGAGGATTAGGCAATCCTAGCGAAGGAGAAACAGCACAAATTTAATCGATACAAATTGGGGGTTCATTATTTTTTAGTTTCGAAAAGAAATTTGGACGCAAAATCAGCCAGAATCCAAAGCAGCCGGAAAAAGTTAAAAAGAAAAACAAGTCAGAAGTCAGAAAGTCAGAAAAAACAGGCAGAAAAGATCTAAAGAATCGAAATGGAAATCCAACTCACCCTGAAATACGACACAAAGCAACTAAAATTTGAAATCAACTGCAGAACGCATGGAATGGAACAGTGGAACGGAACGCATAGAGAACTCATGCGATTCTAAAAACCAAATCTACAAAAAGAAAAACCAACAAAACGCAGCAGAAAGCGAGTAAAAAAAGAATCGTAAACCGAAAACTAAACTAATAAAACCGAAACTGAATATAACATTTTTGAGAAGAGAAAACATGAAATAACACTTTCAACATTTACTATATATTTTAGCATTTAAGATCCAAAAATGGAAGAAAAAGAAAAACCTATTGTGTCAGCCGTAAGAAAAATTTACTAAAAAAGTTTACACACACAAACAAAACACTCTTAAGAAAACACAAAAAAATCTAACAAAATGAAACCCAAAAAAAAATCGATTAATCATTAACTAAAAACACCCAACAACCGAAGGGAAGAAGACCCCAAAGTTTTAAATACACACACACTAAATTCTTTATGTAAAATTCGATATGGAAACCCCTATTCGTAATGTAAATGTACAATAGCAACCACACAGCATCAAAATTCATCAAAATGATGTATGATGTAGACAACGCATAGGAACGAAACGAAAGAATGGGAGGATAGAAAGGAAAAGGAAGGAGCAAACGAAACGAAACGAAACAGAATGAGATGAAAGCGAAAAATTTCTCTTTGCCCCCGACCACAGAGCTTTGTTTGTTTGTTTTTGTACATTTCAAGCATTTTGAATATATATACATATATATTTGATAGTCCTTATTTAATATTATTCATATATATATCTATATATATATTTATATATATACTATACATATATTTTTTTATTGTTTCGATTTGTAATAGATTATATACGGTAATCAACTGGAGACTGAGCTACAACATATATTTAGTTACCGTTATATTTATTGCAAAGACACACACACATCCAAACACTCCCCACGCACCCACACATGCAAAAAGCACACCCATACACCTACCACCCACCACCCACCACTCACATGCAACATCAAACTATATCCTAACCGAACTCTAACTAAAAACAATAATCTATAAACCATACATAACTATAAATAAATTATGAATCGATAAACTTGGCGTTGTGTAGTAAGTTTATTGCATTTTATTTGGCATTTTTGAAATGATTTCCGATTGATTTCGTACTACCTACCCATATGGGAATATCTACGATTCCCGCTTATTTACTATATTTTTATAATTTTGTTGTTGTGTATTTCATTTTGCCGCCCTCGTCACCCAGACCCCTCCACGCCCCTCCCAAAAACCCCACACCAGCCACCCATCCAATCGCCCCCCACCAAGCCCCTTTTCTCGTCCGTCCAGCGCCTGGTTTGCCTGTGTGATAGTAGTTTATAATTAAAACCATCCGCTGGACAGCCCCATCAGTCCATAACTTCCCATCACCAGACCCCCCATCCCGCCCACATCATTTTTTACATTTTTAAACGGCGAGCAAACTATATAGAAACCACTTTACACATAATAAACTAAATCTTAAAAAAAAAAACATAAAATTAAAGATGAAAATTTACAAAAAAATACCACTATTTTTACAATAATTATTTTTAAATTTACCTTTATCTTTACCTAAATTAGTTTAGAGCTTTTTTTTTGCGTCGTCTACATTTTACGATTTAAGTTCATTTAATCTACACATAATCTACATGAGGATGATGTGACGACACGGATGTATCTACATTGTACATTGTATCTACATTACAGAGCTAAAATATCTATAAATATTATAAATATAACAAAAAAAAGAGTAAAATATTATTAAAAAAACCAAAAAAAAACAAAAAATTATTCGTTCCTTTGTTTTTATTTCCGTTGTAGTTCAGTATTTTTTATTTTCAGTTGTAACTTAACATCCTAAGTTGGCTTTTCGATATCGAATTGGTTTCGATTTCGAGTTCGACTCCGATCCCCAGATCCCGACGTCCCGATCGTTTCGTGAGGCTTTCGATGTTGTCCCTGTACTGTCTGTACCCCGTACCACACATATAAGACCCGTAACCCCCTATACCAAACGAAACAGTCGTCTAAATTATGAATTTAATGTGAATTTGAGAAGGTTAAAGGTTTAATTAGGGCCGTCAGTTACATTCAAATTGCGTGTGAGTACATAGATGTATACCTAACTAACTACACCGATCATATATATGGAGTACACTAAACTAACCTAACCTAACGTAAACTAAAATAAACTAAAATAAAGAATAAATGAATGAATTAACTACCTCAGCTTTGAATATTTCTATAGAAATGTTATTAAATGTATTTGAAAGGAAAAGCGTAAGAAATATACAAACAATGCATAAGTGCAATGCGAGATGCCGCCAGATGGAAAATGAACAAAACAATGTCAAAGAATACAAGTTTTAGAGCTGCATTTATATAGTATCAGATCGATAAGGAACATAGAAACAAAATCGAGAAACAAAACAAAACCAAAAAACGAAAAAAATATATTAAGTGTACGTTTTGCATATTCCTATATAGTTAACTAAACGTAAAAGCAAGATGGGTAAACATGAATACTACTATAACAATAATTTTGCGTCCATTTTTGTTGTTTCCTATACAAATAAAATTGAAAATTTGAAAACAAAAAAATGAATAAGTCACAAAAATAGGAGGAGGAGGAGGATAACGAAGCTATATTCCCATTACATTGTATAACTGTCTTTTAACCGGAAGTACACGATAACCACACTATATATCGAATATCCACTCTGTGTATGTTTTGTATCTGCCATGGAATATGTACCCGAAACTAAGCTAGATAACCAAGTAAAGGACGCTCGATGTCAAGTGTGTCGTCATAGTTTAGAGGCCCCAGTATTTACTAGCGAGTACTTTACATTTGTTTACCCCCAAGCCCCGAAACCCCTAAAAACCCCACAACCCTATCAACCAAAGATTCAAAGTTCCTTCTCATTTTGATCGCCACCAAATCCCATCAGCACCCCCGCCCACCCAACTCCTGGTAGTGCTGATCCAAAAACTATATATACATAGCATACTAATCTGCGTAAGATGTTTTCCCCATTTCGGTGTAACTAAATGTTAATTGCTAGCGCTCAATACGAAATTACATTACCGTATACAAGACCACATTCAGCAAAAAAAGACATGCAGCTTACTAAATTGTATCCCAAGGCCAAGGAAAATATTAGGAAACAAGCTATACAACTAAACCCGAATACAATTTTGTGAACATGTGAAAAACAAATCGAAAAGAAATTTACTCAATAAATGATTTTTCGTATATAAGAAGTATTGCACTTTTCAATTTGAATATGGGTTTTTTAGATGGGGGGTGATATGGGTGGTATATCACTCCCCACTCAGATAAAAAAAAAGGAATTTTGCAATTCAAAAAGTTTGCAAAAAAAAATTGTTCTGATATCCCCCCACAACAATTAAAAATTGGCGAAAATTTTATTTTTCCAAAATCACACGGATAGTGTTATGGAATAATTTATTTTTTGTTATCTGTTCAAAACAGTATGTTTTTTTGGTGCAGGACCATTTTTGGCCAAATTACAGCAAAAAACCAAAAGAAAAATTCCAATTTTTGTCAAAAATCCAATTGGAAATGATAGATGGAGCAGCTAAGTTAGCGGATTCACCTTCCGCACACCTTGGTGTGACCGTTTATGTTGATCACAACTTGCGGTTCCTGTCTCGGGAAATTTAAGTGATGTGCCAAATTTCGATATGGTCCTCCCAATTTATTTTTAAGCATTAGAACTATCGATAAGAGATATTTTTAATATTAACAGAAATGTTAAAACGCTGTATCTTAACATTAGCGCCGCACCTAACTTTTAGTTATGTGCCAATTACTTCTTTTTTAACTGTCGAGAATAAGTATTTTTAAACTGTCATCGGTTATAGTTCAACAGAACTGTTAATGTGCAGCGTTTTCTTAAATTTGGCAAGACCGTATATCCCAACATTTCTGTTATTGGACAGCAGAACTGCAACATTTTAGTGATGGGTCAAATGGCGATATTTATTTTTACGTTATTCCTAAAACTATCGATTGAAATATTTTTAAGCGAGTGGAATATTTTTAAGCACCCCAAGCGCCACCAAACGTCCCACCACTTCACGAATTTCATTCGCCAAGTGAGCACGCGGCTTCGTCTGGTTCTGCAAAAGAAGTTTTTATTCTGTGACTTTTGTGAGAAGTTATCAACTGAAGGTATTGTGCTATTTTCTATATTACCACCTTTTCACGGCCCTTGCTTGAAAAAGAGCGGGCGGCGCACGGTGCATGGCGAACCCAGTAAATTGCCATTGATTTTTTTTCTCACGTCACCTTGCGCTAGATTCTGTAGTTATGTAATGTGCTAATTTTTTTATTGTGTCGGTGCTGGTTCAATTAACTCTATATATGTACTACGGGCCGCTCTGGCTGGGCTGCCCCGAAAATAACTCCCTACGTGGGGCTTGAAAAAGCCGAAAAGTTCTTACATAACCCAGGCGAAGAAATAACTGTGCCGAAACTTTGCCTTCAATAAAACACGTAACAAACGGGGCGTATAAGCGCACTCCTTGGGGCTTTGATCTCTGATCTATGGTATTATTTCAAGTCCCCAAGAAAAAATTAATAAAGCCACGCTGGATAATTTCCCCAATTTTTTTCCATTTTTTTTTTGCAACCACGCTGGAACTGCCAACTTATGCAATTGGCAGCGAGTTGGCAGGCCGGTTCGCCGGAACGAAAAATTCGCACATCAGTTGTGGGCTTTTTTTTAAACGATAATTGTACTTGAGTCGAATTCGCCTGCATTTGCATAGATATTGTAAAATGTAGAGCAAGTGCAGGCGATTTAATTGAAAAGAGTGCAGAGCAATTGGCTGTTCTACTGCCCACTCACACATTGGCGAATAATTGCCATGTGCCTCTAGCGCCCTCTCGCTCACTCCTGTGCCAGACACCAGCTGCGCGTGCAAGTGCTTAGCTGTGTGTTTGTGAGAGAGTTAAGAGAAAATGTAACCATCATCGCTCTTTTCTCCTCCCTTTCTCTTCTGACCTGCTTTCTTTCTACCTTCTTTAAGGTAAAAAGTTCTTGCAAAAAACGGGTTTCCCCAGTTTTCACATAGTTCTTATCCCCATCCCTTTCTTAACCCCCCGTGACGTCAATCGTTAAACTGCGTCTAGTGTTCATGTGATTTTTATGTTTATTTTGCCCCTTTGTGTGGCCTTTTAGCGCCATTTTGCACTGATTAGAGATTAGTGTTTATTATTACATCTCCCTGGCGAATCGCATCACATTTCTCGCTTACTAGGCGGAAATTTTCAAGCCGCCACCCTGTTTTTTGTTTAGTCTTGGAAATACGATTCGCACTCTGAGCGAAAAGATAAACTTGTCAATTTTGCATTTTTCGTTCGCTCTCTTCTTTTGCAGGCTGAAAGCCAGCGAGCACTCTCTTTACTTTTTTATGTAATTTTTTGCGATAACGGGACCTTGAAAAAGCGTCGCAGACAGTTATATAAATAACTGTATTAGCAGCGGTGTTTATCTAATCGCTTCACGCACTTTTTTTTCGAGCTGCCGCTGCCGCCCTTCTTCCGCGTGCGCGAAAGAGACGGAGAGTGAGAAGAGAGAGAGTGCGGCAAGCGGACGTCAGAAGGCAAAGTCACATGCTAACAGTGTTGGCCAAAGCCAAATGTTAAAAATAGCTAAACAATATATAGTTGAAAAATAAATAAAACAATTCAACTGTTTTTTTTATAAAATATATATTTTAGAGGGGTTTGTCCAAAATTTCTGGCCAGTTTTAGTTAAATCAATGATTTAAAAAAAAGAAATAATTAAGCATTATTTTGAAGAAAATTGTATCGACAATTCAGCTTGATTTGTTTTTATTCAGTTTCATAATTGTAAAAGAAGAAACCTATATATGCATGTTATGCGAATTTAGAATACGATTGACTAAATTTACTCGTGCCCTTTTATTTCTGGCTACAAAAAGTAGCTAAACTGGCAGCACTGGCTACGCAGCTGACTCTTCGGCTTGTTGCCAAATGTAATTTTTTTGGCAAGCATTTAGAAAGCGCCGCCGAAAACCTCGAAAGGGGTAAATGAAAAACAATTGGCCATATATGCATTTTCGGGCATGGCCAAAACGAAACAAAAAGTGTGTTCTAATGAGTTCGACTTGTGGTTGTAGTTGTAGTTGTAGTTGTAGTTGTGGTGCTAGTACAACACTTCCTCTTATGCAACAAACGGCATTGAATTCGAATTCTTAGCACTGATAAGCGGCGATCTCTCGCTCTTTGTCGGCCACCCCCCATCCCCCTCCCTCTCTCTCTCTCGCACACGTGCTGTTGCCAACCGCTAGGTGGCGCTCTCATTTCGCACATTTCTACATTTCCCGCTCTCTCCGCTCATCTGTTGCTGAACTTGACGACGACCGTCGCTGCCGACGCCGACGCAGGCAGCGCGGACAGCGCAGGCTAGCTGGGCGACTTCGGCGAACGGAACTTTCACAAGCAATTCAGTGGCCGTCCGGTTCAGATTCAGACCTCTGAGTTCCAAGGAATAAGGATAATTTTTTTTCGGTTTTGTGCTGTGATATAGAACACATACAAATAGTACGTATGGCGAGCAGAAATCAATTATCGACTCGAATGCAAACAATCCGAATGCATTCATCATTCATCAAATTAATAAAACAAAAGCCCAGTTAAACGCGAGTGTGATTAGTTCTTCGAATATTCCCTTTTTTTTAACTAAACCCAACCTGAGCAATGAAAAGAATTTGCCTGGTTATGTAAACCAACGAGAGTTGAACTTGAATCATCAATTTTTTTCTGGTGTGCGGTGCTTGCTTTTCGGTTTTCGATTTTCGGTCTTATGCAATCAATAACAATGAATTAAGAATAAACTTAACCCTGGATTGGTGGATACTACTCAGCACTCAGCCTTCGGTGGAAGGTGGAAGCTTTCCACGTGCAACTGTAGATTTTTTTCCAGCTGAGGCTATTACATCACAAGTTCTCGCCTCCTCCGCTCTCTTGACCACAAAGAAAAGCTTCGCTCTGTCTCTCTCTTCCAGTCAATCAAATGAAAAGTTTAACCCGATTAGATAACGGTTGTTTGGGCGGAAGAGAGCAGCCGAAGAGAAACAAAGCTCTCTTCGCCAAGTGTGTTACATAAAGGCTTTCTCAATGAAATGCTAATTTAATTTCGCTGAATTTTATTGAAACACACCGCTGCTCTTGAAAGTCTAAAATTAACGAAAACGAAACACGCTTCAATGGCGAATGCCAGCTGCCAAAAAAGTGTGGCCCCTATAGCCATCTTGCTCACACCCACACAAGCGACCATCTATACTGGCTTTTTCCATTGAACTTTTTCTATTCTATTCTTTTCTTTAATTTTTTTTCTTGCGGTGTGGCAATTATGCAATCCCAAACATTACTCAATGAAAACCAGTAAAAGGCCGTTTTATTCAACTTGAACTGCAAATAATGTATGCCATTCTAGTTCAGATAAATTGGATAGGCAATTTATGCCACGTAATACTTTTCCCAAGATTCTGACTGAAAACTGGTTGGAACTCACTTCGGTTTTCCTACAATACTTAACTTTAAACCACGTGGCAACAAGCAACCAACAAACTTTTTTCTTCTTTTTTGCACAAAACCAGTTTTGCCGGCGACTGTTGCCAACACCCATACCAATATAGTAGTTTATTTGTTGTAACGAAAATGCTGAGCTACCCATAAATATATGTATCATCAAATATTAACCACCTTTAAACTTAAGTTATAATATGTACTTCCATACTAACACATTATAAACTCAAATACTGCATGTCTTAACATTTTCGCGTTAATCGAATTTTCATTTGTCGCTAAAACCCTTTATCTTACCATTTCCCACACTTTATTTAACCAAAAAAGTGCATGTTTTTCGGTTTCGGTTTGTTGTGTATCGCATCTCCATTTCCCCCAAATCAATTGTTATTATTTAGAACATTGACAATTTTCACCTTTTCATTTGGCTTTGGGCTATTCTTCTATTGTGCCTTTTGCACCTGTGTAAAGAAAGTGAATCGTACATCCACCATACAAAATATCGTAAGCGTATATCGTAAACGTAAAACGTATATCGTAACATTATGCAACGCATGGGGAGCGGTTCCCATCTGTACCAAAGTATATCAAGCACCACCACCACCACCTGCATGCCATGGGGATATCATCCATCTCCATCCGTAACATCACAGGAGTAACATCCTCCTCATCGGTGATCATCGGTTTCAATCAATCAATCAATCCAATCAATCATCGGCTATCATCCAAAAACGGCTTTAAAGACGATGGAGATTAATCAGAGTTTCGGGCAATTGCGCAATGTGTTTACAGCAAAATGGGCAAGGATTTCGATGCTGTTGGATTCGTCAAGGACTTCGCTGCCGGAGGCATCTCCGCAGCCGTCTCGAAGACCGCCGTCGCCCCCATTGAGCGTGTGAAGCTGCTCCTGCAGGTTCAGCACATCTCGAAACAAATCAGCCCCGACAAGCAGTACAAGGGCATGGTTGATTGCTTTATCCGCATTCCAAAGGAACAGGGATTCTCGTCGTTCTGGCGCGGTAACTTGGCCAACGTCATCAGATACTTCCCGACCCAGGCTCTGAACTTTGCCTTCAAGGACAAGTACAAGCAGGTGAGTTAGCTAACTGGAAGCTGTAAAAGATTTGGAGCTGTGAAAACTAACCAACTTGCGTAAACTTAGGTCTTCCTGGGAGGTGTTGACAAGAACACCCAGTTCTGGCGCTACTTCGCCGGCAACTTGGCCTCCGGCGGTGCCGCTGGTGCCACCTCTCTGTGCTTTGTCTACCCCTTGGACTTTGCCCGTACTCGGTAAGTTGTGTGATATTGCTAGAAAGAAAACAGTCAAGATAATAACCATTGTTTTTCCCAACCATACAGCTTGGCTGCTGATACCGGCAAGGGAGGTGCTCGTGAATTCACCGGTCTGGGCAACTGCTTGACCAAGATCTTCAAGAGCGACGGCCTCGTTGGCCTGTACCGCGGCTTCGGTGTGTCCGTCCAGGGCATCATCATCTACCGTGCCGCCTACTTCGGCTTCTACGATACCGCCCGCGGTATGCTGCCCGACCCCAAGAACACACCCATCTACATCAGCTGGGCCATCGCCCAGGTTGTGACAACCGTCGCTGGCATCGTGTCCTATCCCTTCGATACCGTGCGTCGTCGCATGATGATGCAGTCGGGTCGCAAGGCCACCGAGATCATCTACAAGAACACAATCCACTGCTGGGGAACCATCGCCAAGCAGGAGGGCACTGGTGCCTTCTTCAAGGGCGCCTTCTCCAACGTTCTCAGAGGCACTGGCGGCGCTTTCGTGCTTGTGTTGTACGATGAGATCAAGAAGTTCTTGTAAATTAAATTATTAAATTATTCAAACAAGCAAAATACAACAACAACATACAACAACAACAACAACAAAACAGAACACTACCAGCTAATTATGTTAGATAACTGAAAGCAACAGCAACAGCAATGTTTGATCTGCAACCAACACCTCTTACCAAGAACAACGGCAAGCAATAACAACACCCTTCCACCCTCCCCCCTGATATAATTACGAAATTATATTATTTATAATAACTGGGAATTAATTTACGGAACGATGATGGCCAGAGTCAATAGAACAACAATACAATACAGCAATGCTAGGAGACGAGGATACGGTTCGGCTCATGGGAGACCCACTACACTGAAAGACGAACGAACATAGCGACGATATTGATATTGATTAGTATTGTTAAGTTTGGGTTAGGCTATATACTACTATATGCCGTCATGTTGCCGGGTCGCGCCACATCTCCCCAGCCAAATCAGTGTTATCGATAGGGTGCAAGGAACCGAACGAAGACCTGTAGGTTCCTTCGCATCCGACACGACAAACAAACTCAACTTCGGTTGGTTTAAAAATATATAAAAATTGATAAAAATAGTACAATGTTGTGTTTTTCTTTATGCTGTGTATGCTATCTGTGTATGATTTTCTTCTTTATTTGTCTATAGAACTTTTATGATTTGATGGGAAGAATATAACAAAAACAGCTCACTGCGAATCTAAAAATTACAGTAGCATACTTCAAGTTCTTATGCAGATCATCAGATGATTGATTTCAAAACCGAAATCAAAATGGTTAAGAAGTTTTTTAGGCGCCATGGGGGCTCTCATGAAAATATATTCAACCAACACAGACTTTTTAGTTTTAACCAATACAAATTTGTTTAGATAGTTGGTTCTCAAACGTTTTATTTATGAGAAGAAACTTTTAGTTTAATATAAAACAGGGAATCGCATAGAATTGTTTTATCATGAACCTAATAATTTCATTGAAAGTGCAGAGGGGCTTATTTAAAAAAGATTGAGATTTAGAAAAAGATTTTAATTATTTATAAATGTAGCATATTAAGCATACTTTTTATAGATAGCCATTGTTAATAATTTGTTCTCAAATGTATTATTTATGATAATTTTTAAAAACTATAGCAGGGGAAACTTTAAGTTAAAACAGGGAATCAGATAGAATATTTTTTATCATGAACCCAATAATTTAAAAGTGCTGAATCATTATTTAAAAACAAATTATAGCAGACTGCAATTAGTCATAGATTCTCAAACAAATGAATAACTTTTATTTATCGAGGGACTTTCTTCATAGAAATCATTGGATAATAAATCATAAGGGGAATTTGAAAATGTAGGCCTAAGTTGGCCAAGGCAATGCTTTCGTAGGTCAACTGCTCAAAGGGGCTCACAACTTTGTTATCCCACGTCAGTTCAGATCTCGTACGGAGTCGAATCAAAATTACAAGTTATAAAAGTGAAAATCGGTTTTATTCTTTTTACCATTCCACTTTGACGCTAATCCGAATCGTTTTAAAATCAAGCAACCAGTAATCCAACATGGGCGATGAAGGCGGTGGCGGCGGACATGGCAAGGGCGACCTCAAGTCCTTCCTCATGGACTTCATGATGGGCGGCGTTTCGGCGGCGGTGGCCAAGACGGCGGTGGCGCCCATCGAGCGGGTGAAGCTGCTCCTGCAGGTCCAGGAGGTGTCCAAGCAGATCTCCGCGGACCAGCGCTACAAGGGCATCGTCGACTGTTTCGTGCGCATTCCCAAGGAGCAGGGATTCTCGTCCTTCTGGCGCGGCAACTTGGCCAACGTGATCCGTTACTTTCCCACGCAGGCCCTCAACTTTGCCTTCAAGGATGTGTACAAATCGGTTCGTTACGGGATTTGGGATATATGATCAATATATAAATCTACATATATACACTTGATATCCCAACCTACAGGTCTTCCTCGGCGGCGTTGACAAGCACAAGCAGTTCTGGCGCCACTTTGCAGGAAACTTGGCCTCTGGCGGCGCAGCAGGCGCCACATCCTTGTGCTTCGTCTATCCCCTGGACTTTGCCCGAACCCGGTGAGTTAAGACTCCAACCCTTGAGTGACTTTCGTAATTTAAGTTGATTTTAAAGATTAAGTTAGTTTACATTGAGCTTTCATTGGAACTCGAAAGCTAGGCTACTTTTTATAAATAGCCAAAAATTAGCTTTTCGATTGATACCTCGTGCTATCTAAAGTAGCCATTCAAATATCTAATGTATATTACATTAATTTAATTAAATTTTGTGTAGTAATCACCTCACTTTAAAAGAATTTAGTCTTTTATGGATTCTTAAATATCTTTGCAAATAATTTACTACCCAATCAATATTAAACACTTTAAGCACTAGTTTCAATCAATAATCAGTTAGTCGAGAGTGTAAAAATTTAATAATTTGGTTATTACTAAATCAAATAAAAACACCTCTTAACGAGGTACAAAACTAGTGACGATCGCATCTTCAACCTACAAAAGTTCTGATATCAACGATTGACGCTTAAGAATTCGCGAATAGATTTTGATGCTCTACTTTTGGCGACCATTGTTTTTATTATTGGTCAATGGTATTGTTCAAAGATACTGATTATATATATGCCAAAGAATCCGCGGTTATAATTTCACTTTTTTGGATTTTTAAATCGAGTGATTAGATAAGGCAATAAGAAAGTGACATACCTGCCCAAGAATTTGGCCACCTGATCGGCTGAAGAATTCGCGTTTTTCCATATTTTTTCAACATTACTGATTTTATTTTATCCTGATTTTTATTCATTTGAATAATCCCTTGCCATCTTCACCCGACAGCTTGGCCGCCGACGTGGGCCAGGGCGGCAATCGGGAGTTCAACGGCCTGATCGACTGCCTGATGAAGGTGATAAAGAGCGATGGCCCCATTGGCCTGTACCGCGGCTTCATTGTGTCGGTGCAGGGCATCGTCATCTACCGTGCGGCCTACTTCGGCTTCTACGACACCTGCCGCGACTTCCTGCCGAATCCAAAGAGCACGCCCTTCTACGTCAGCTGGGCGATCGCCCAGGTGGTCACCACCGTGGCCGGCATCGCTTCCTATCCCTTCGACACGGTGCGCCGTCGCATGATGATGCAGTCGGGCCTGAAGAAGTCCGAGATGGTCTACAAGAACACGGCCCACTGCTGGCTGGTGATTGCCAAGCAGGAGGGCATCGGCGCCTTCTTCAAGGGCGCCCTCTCGAACATCATCCGCGGCACGGGCGGCGCCCTGGTTCTCGCCATTTACGACGAGATGAAGAAGTACTTTTAGCCCCGATGTCGGGCCGTTTGTGGTGAGTCCATTCGGCCGCCATCTAGCAACCCAGCCGCACCAAATAGCACACCACGAGGGCGCCGCACCTGCAGATCCCCAGCCCACCGTTTCATCGCTTCGTAAAGGAAGACTGGGACCAGTCCATCGGCCAGGAGGCCCATAAATTAGTGATTTAATCGGGATGCTGGCTGCCCCTCATCTCAAGATGTGTTCTTCGCCAGTGGTTGAGAAAATACAAATAATTTATTGAACTTAAATCTTTGTTGCGCTCTTGTATGTTTTTTGTTTTTGGTGCAGTGTGTTTTGATTAGGGTGGGCCGTTTTTCACAAAGATTCTAATATTAAAAAAAAAATTTTTTTGTTCGATTATAACAACATAAAATTGATTCTTTTAATTTCTTTAATCTTTTAGTCTCAATTAGCAAATCGAAATAATAATCAATTAAGGATTAAAAAAAGAAATTAAAAATGATTGCATACAAGACTGAATATAATAAGATTTTTACCTATTTTTAAGAAGAATTCAGTTTCTTTGGGCCGCCCACCCTACTCGTTTTCGTAGATGTGTTCGTGTGCTGGTGGGTTTTAGCTTAAACGCTAGTTAGGCATTTAAAGTAACATTAAAAACACATCAAGTCGAGAAAGGCTTCGCTTTCCATTGAGCTGACCGCACGTGCTGTGCCCATTTGCATATGTAATCGCATAAATTAACAACAAAAACGACATAAAAAAAGAGGCGAAATTACAAGTACGCGATCTGCACTTAATCTGTAAACAGTTAGAAATTATTCTACGCCTAAGTAGATCCAGCATTGAGTTGCGGTGGACTTAGTGGGTGGCTCCGGATCTGTGGGCGAGGAACAGGAAGTAGACGCCCGCCGCGTAGGCCAGGAAATTGAAGAGGCCAAAGACTCCGGCGGCGGTGTTCGAACCGGAAGCGTAGCCAGTTGCGTCCGACCACCTGGCCAGTTGGACGATGAATCCGATGAAGTACAGCAGAGTCAGCACGGCGGTGGTGATCAGCTCCTGTTGGTTGATCGAGAGAGGGTTGAGTTAGTGCTCCTCCTAAGCCATCTATTTAACTCACCAAAAATATCCAGTTGACGGATACGTTGAGGGCCTCCCGAATGCCCAGGAAGTAAGCGGCGATGAGCAGAATGTTGATAATGAACGACACAACGATGACGAACATGAAGAACGAGGTGGCCGAGGTCAAGGGAGGAGCCGCCAGTGCCATGCAGATGATTCCCAGAACCTGCGAAAATAGAAGGGATAGTTTTGGATTAGTTCAAATTTTTAAAAGTATTTAGTTGCGTGTGAAATATTATTATTATTATCTAATGCTAACTTACAGTTAGACTAATTTTTATTTTTATTATATTTCACAGTTTTTTATGTAATATATAGTACCTATGTTGTAATTATTAAGAAAGGGTAGGATTTTCTGGGTATTGATTATAGTAGGATGTGGATAGAGTTTTGGGAGTTGAACGATGGAACTGCATCAAAACTTTTGTAAGTGTTTCAAAAATCTGGAAAACTAGTTTTCATTCTCAAAACATAATTTCAAATATTTGTAAATCTTTTAATAAGAATTCATGTTTCATTTTAACTCTTAAATTTTAAGAATGTGTACTTTTGCTCAATGATCACCCAGATAGTGATCTCCAATTGACGGGCGCCTCTTCAAGGCCGCGATTTGAATCTGGAATCTGGAGTGAGCATGTCGTGATGTCACCTTTAATTGAATGCACACCATGAATGAAATGACTGTGCTGAGCAACGAAGGTTGTTTTCCGTCTAATTAAGCGGTGAATTCAAAGATTGCCCCTAAATATTACACTATTAATATTATGCTTTTTTTTAATTTCGATGTAACATTGCTAAAGAAAATATTAAAATTACCAAACAAAACTTTATGTCGAAATCGAGGCTTTTTTGTGCATATTTTTTGTTGCATTCTTTTTGAATACCATTCGTCAAGTCACCCTTAGTGGAAATATTCAAGGACTCCAGTTAATATTTTTTAATATTCCAAAAAACTAACATGACACAATATAATTATCTTTTAAGTCACTTTTAAGAACCTTATCGAAATTCAAGTGAATTCGCCGGGTGATTTGCCTAGTTAAGTACCCTTAGAACTTAAAACGGGATGACAGGCGGCGATGACACACATTCTCCTTTGCCTGACACTATGTTGACGTGGTTTCTTTGGGCAATTAAAAGGCAATAAGCTTTTGGCGACACAAACAAAAAATGAGAAATAAATAAAAGACAAAAACAAAAACCAAACAGAAATGAAAACAAGCAGGTGTGCAGTCGACTTCGGCATTTGGTTTTGGCTAAAACAAAAGGTACACGAAAAGTGAAAGCTGAAAGTTGTAGCCAGGCCAAAAGCGACCTGTTGATAGCAACATGTTGTTTCTGTTGCTTTTTCTGTTTTTTTTTAGTTTATTTTGCCATCTGACAAACAATTAACTAACAGCAGCAGCAAATCATCGGTTGATTGAACCATCAGCAATTTGTTGATCTTGAATTGCATTCCCACATTTTTTAATGGTATTCTTCTCGTTTTTTAATTTTATTTTAAATTTGATCTTGACCCCGGACAGTTGCCGATTTGGTTGCGATCCACAAACTTGCGTCACTTTTCAAAAATAAGAGAACGAAATGTGTCTGCGAATTATATGAGAATTTTATCTTTTCTAAACATAATTTATGGGTGGTTTTTCTTCACAGTTGTGAGTATACATATATCTATGGATATTTAACGACACGATTTGTACATTTTTACTGGTGGGTTCTGTTTGCATAGTTTCAATATACATAGTTTATGTCGCCTTGGCTTTTTATGTACTTTAGCCCCCTAATTTCGAATACTTGGACACTTTTCTTAACAGAAACCCAATTTTTGTTCGATCCAAAAGATAGTAATTAAAAATGATTTCGAAAGTTTACCCAAATAAGAACTGTAGTTCAGTACATGGTAACGAGCAATTTGCCTTGTGGGGCATGAAACAGTGCGTAGAGAGCGAGTGCATCAAAGTATATCGATCACTGTTCCAACATAATGATGTGCCTTTTCAGCGCAATCAATGACGCGAAACGCCGCTGAAATGGATCTAGTTCTTGACCCCCGATTATACGGTCTGGGTCCCTAGGCATCGTCTGCTGTCTGTGAAGTTTCAGTGGCCGTACAGAAACTTTGACTTGATATTATGTACTATAGGGTTTTTACACGAAAAAAAAACACATTTTATTTTGTTTTTTATTTTTTTGAAAAAAAATCATAAGGTACCCCCTTATAAAAAAATGAATTGTCGAAAATTGTATTTTTCCAAAATTACACGGAAAGTAGTTTGGAGATTATATGCAAATGGGATATATAATAAAGATAGTAGAGATTGTTCTTTATAGATAAGCGCAGTTCATTGGCCAAATGGCTAAGAAACATACGTAAACATCGTAAAATAAATCTATAGTATATAAATATTGCTAACAATTTGTTAACATGGCCAAGACGAAGCTTAAAAGATGAGCTCACTTTTTAGAGCGCAGTACACTTAGTCAGCGTCAATTACCTAAAATGTACACAACACACAAACACGTATTTGCATAGCTCTGTGCACTTAGTACAGTGCGTTTCTTAGCTATATGACTAGCCGCATATAACTAGGCAAATACTGGGTAAATTTTATTGTGCGTCATTTTGCTAAAAAAAAAGGGCTTTTAAAATATAGTGTCACCTATGAAAATGACCCAAGTAAATAAAAGTTATTCGAATATATATTTTTGATAGCAATGATATTTCTTAAAATAATATATATAAAACAACAAACATACGAAAACAAAATATCTGTAATAAGATAAAGGTACTTGGTTTCAAAATTTCAATTAAATACTAAATTGACATTATTTGTTTAAAATATTAGCACGGTTCTTTCTCGGTGCTATTTACATCTTTTAGGGCCTTCTTTACGCATATGAAACGTACTGTATACGAATGGATGCCGTAACGATCGATCTCATTCTCCAAACCACCGACAAACAGCAGCAACTGTCCAAGTCTTAGGTGACTATTGGTTCCGATTCCGATTCCCATCCCGCCCCCGCGTTTTGTGGTAAAAATTTCTTGAATGACACCGAATGTGTGTCATTGTTTAGCGCTTTTGGCGAGAACATTAAAATTAAAATCCACGACAATAATGCCAAACAATGTTGTCTGCTATTCGGATCGGCTGCTTTGGCTTCCAAAATACAAATCTTACGTAATTGCTATTATAAAAAGTTCTGAAAGGCAGGGACCAAGACGAACAAAACTTAATAATAAATCGTGCTCTTTCCGATTTGCATATATCTTGTTTTTTTGTGTGTGCGTATATAGAGCACACATTTGGCCATGGAAGGCATACATAAATGTCTGTGCATATATATTGTTGGCACATATATGTTATAAGTTGGGGCAATTCAGGGTCCAAAATGCTAATTTCCAGGGCAGCACGATAAGATACGGCCGATAGGATTCCACAAATGGGCTTGCAACTCCTAGAAGTTGAATGCTTTTGGGGGTTTTTTTCGATTCGGGATTCGGGACCAAGGGGCGGATGAGTAATGGGCCTGGGCCGTAGTAATTAGCAATCGGCGGTCAGGTGTCAGGCATCGATTGCCTTATCACCACGGCGACTACCGAATATGCCCTACTTCACTCCGCTCGCACAGGTGGTCGCCTCATTATCGCCCAGTTCGCTCGGATAACGGGGCGTATGAGTAACGGCCGATTAGCCGATTTTCCATCTCTTCAAAAAGTTGTGCAAAATGAGTCACGGTTTATTAGACTAATAACCCAAAATGTTTACAAAAATATATACAAATATTAAAAATCATCATATCTTATTTAGTTTTTTAATATTCTTTGAATATATCGTTTGTATCTTCACTTATTTTCATCATCATCATATCCTATTTTGTTCTTTAATATTCTTTGAATATATCTTTTGTATTCTCACTTATTTTCCAAAAATAACAAGTAGCCTTGAAACTCTGAGCATTTGCAAGTAGGCAGTCTCATTTCACAGTTAGTTTAAATTGATGATAATTTGAAAATTGTGCAATTATCGAGTTATTTATTCAGAGGGCCAAGAACTCTCGATTCGCGTTTGGGAACCACGCAGGTGCATATGTATATATGTATCTTTGTGGCAACGTTAAGTGCGGCACTTTAACATATTTATACTGCGCTGAGACGACTATCAGCAGACTATCGCCAAAGGCGGCCGATAAGATTAGTGGCCACAAAAATCCCATTTGGGAACCGAAAAAGCTGAATGGCCATTTGTGACATCAATGCATTTAAAAGAGATTTTTAAGATCCCTACCTTCATCAGGAATATCAAAGAACTTCGTGGGCGACAGCATAACCTCGCTGGTTCCGTGATAATCGGAGCTTGGCGGGCAGAAAATCAATAAATAGCACTTAATAACCGACAGTTTATTGCGATGGTAATCATAATATCAGCGATTCAGACCCCCAGACCACCCACTCCGCCCCCTCCTCCTACTTATTCAGTATTGATTTCCTGCGACAACTGACGAACGTTTAATAATGCATTTTTCATGTGTGCCCGCAGCAGTTGTCGGCGCCCTGTATCCTGTATCCTTTGCCTTTGACCTTGACTGTACGCTTTAGAAGTATGGCCCTTTGGAGGTAAAAACTTTCTACACCTGACCATCAGGTATTGTAATGAACGCAGTTAAGATCCAAGTACCCACACAACACTTGTATCTTGTGTTGGCGTCAAATACCGATGCATCGCCCACACGACTTCGTTTGTGCCCATTGCGGCTGTGGGAAAACCGAGAGTTCCGAATTCCGGGCCAAATGGAGTTTTGCCTCGATATTCTGCAGACAGGGCCCGATTGACCACATGGCCCTGGACTCACATGTTTGCAGTTCCCACCGATTGTCTCCCCCTATCTTATCCGCCGCAAGTCTAATGAGATCCTGACATATCTACTCATAGGCAGCAAATACACACTTATTGGTACATATTTGTTGAATTGAGTACACATCGAGGGACTCTAGGCTTTCTTAAGTTTCCACATATCCCGATAAAGAATGGTGGGGCAACGCAAACTGTAGATAAAACTGTTCAATATATTGAACAAACGATAACAGTTCTATAGCGTATGTGCTTTGTGCCACTTAACATTTTTTTAACGCTTTTCAGCGCCCAAGAACTATGATTACAAAGGAAATATTTCATCCGGTTACTTAGTAATTTTTTTCTCAAGAAATAAGATTAAACCCAAAATTCTTTATAGCTCTTAACATTGAATCATTAAATAGGTCACAAAAACACTCATAAAAAATTTTTTTTGACGCATGTTTTCAACGAACTATTATGGTTCACACTCATAGAAATTTCAAATATAAACTAAGTAGTAAAAATGTAACAGTTTTATAAAAATTTTATAAATTTGGCTATGTTTCAGAAATTATTTCGAAATTACCCATGATAGACTTTTTCGAGTATGACAGTTTGAATCCTAATAATATTTATTTATAAATTGAAATTATAATGTTGGTTATTACTTCATTTCAGTGTAGAAACTTTTGGGGATATCTCAAAACTGAGAGTACTTACAAACTGGACAATTTTGATAATGCCCGGAATGGTGCGGAAATAGTCGACGTTGACGCGGATGCCGCCGAAGCCGCCTTCGTTGCCGACGGCCGGATTTGCCCCACCGGGCGGTCCGGTCGTCGTTGTTGTTGTTGTGCGCTCGATATTGACCACGGTCTCGACCATATTGTTGCTGTTCCTAGTTTACTGGCTGCTGGCGGGGGAGTTTTAGCTGGGCAACTATTTTTAAACACTTGTCGCGATTGTCACAATAAAATAAGACGAAAAAATAACCACCGCTTTCTACATATATTATGTTCACTGGTCGATCGGCGGCTATATCTATATCTATATCAGTATAAATATAAATATGTGAGACGCCCTCGCGCGCTTCTGATTTTCAAATATATATATAGAGTGTGTAGGTAGGTTTATATATGTATATAGTATAGTATCTGGTAGTAAGAGCTATAGCTATATATCCGTGCGCTGCGCTGCGACGAGATTGCTGGCGTTGTTTTGTCCACGGCGGTCGCTTGTCGACTGAACTGCGAACTGAACTGGCCGCCGCTGCAGCCTAACGGTTAACCGAGCGCCGCTCTGCTCCACTCTCCCTCCTCTCGCTCTCCCTCTCGCTCGCTCTCCCACTCGGCCAGTTAGCTAGTTAGTTAGTTGCGCGCGCCCTTTGACGACGCCCCTGCGAGAAACCCACCGCCCGCCTCCCACCGCCCATCGCCAGCCCCCCGGGGGGCAAACTAGTTTGCTGCGCCTGCGCCGCCGATTCTTACACACTGCACAGTGGGACGGAATGACACGGTCTTGGGCATAACTTAAAAAAATTATTTTCTATTTGTATTTATGTATAAATCTACTGTTTACTTTCTTCAAGCTCTCGTCACAGAAAAAATATAAATATAATATACATTTTTTAAAAGTTTACGTTTTGGTATAACAAATATCAAAAATCCAACGCGGCGGATGAGTAATACTTAGATATTGTTATTTTTGAAATTCAAGAACTATTATTTTCATTATTATTATTTTATTATAAAAGTAAGTAGGAAAACTTCACTTCTAATTAACAAAGATTACGGAAGTTTTTATCTTCTATTTTATTTACAAATATTTTCATAATATTAAACAAACCCTATTCGTATTTCCAATTTTTACTTCTAATTACAAAAGACTATAAAAAAAGACTTTTATTTTATTTTAAAATTTTTTTCATAAAACGGTACTTAAATTATTAAAATATTTTCATAATATTTAACAAACATTATTCAAATCTTTTTTCGTCTACACTGCAATTTTAGCTGCCGGCTAACCAGCTTGATTGCTATCTCTTTCCGTTTCGCTGGCTGGCTTTTCGCCCTTCTCTGTCTCTTTGACGCCCACTGTTCGATTTTCGCAACTGGTTTACGTTCTGAATCGACTTTTATGGCTGCCGCTGCAGCAGCCGTGGGTCGCCTCTGAAATTTCTGGAATTTCTTAACTGTGGAGGGTGTTGTGGATGTTGAGGCAATAGTGGGTGGCATGTGTCGATCACAGTGGTCACTAACTCAAGGTTTTTACCAATTTTTTATTTATTTTTATAACAATTTATATCTTATAAAAAATTAAATTTTCTATTTCCTATTTAATTTTTCAAAAAAACAATTTTTTTTTAAGTTCCAATAAATAATATAGTGGAATAAGAAAAGATTGTTTTTATAGGTATTGGATTATTGGTTTAGATCAAACAATGCTTGAATAAAAAGCGATACAATTTTCGCCAACTAGGAACCTTTGATTCCATCCCGTAATTAAGAAAATAAAATGAATAGGGGTTCTTATTTTTTTGGTTAGCTTTTATTTGGGTGCAGTACAAACTATGACAAAATTTGCCTAATAAATAGAGCTTATTTTTGGGGCCGCTCGAAGAGCCTAGACTACGAGTTGCGGATCAACTGGATTGTTTCGGCTAAGGACGTGGACAGGACACAACTCTGGACAGATTCCGACTCCGTGAGCGGATCTCGTATACAATTTTGGTTCAGCTGCTCGGAAATCTCGTTCGAATTCGCGATGGGTGTGTGCATAGAATTAAGTGGTATTGCTTAAATAAATAACTCTGCTGCCTTGCAAACGAAAGGAATTCTCATTTTGGATCACAATAAATCAGAAGAATATACACATATACATGTATTTAATGTATTAAGGTAAGAACGCAAAAACAATTAGCGATGCGAATGTTTTAAGGGGGGCACTGGGAAGGACTAGATAACAAGGGCAGCACGGCCTGCAAACTACAACTAAGCGCATCTAGCAGGGGCTACACACTCTGCCAGGAATAAACAGTTTGACCACAGGAGTATTTCAAGTACAAAACATTATCATCAGCGCGCCTCCTTGGTGTCTAGCTCTACTAATGGTGGATTTGGCTCAGGCTCGGCACTCTGGCTTCTGCTTCTACTTTGGCTTGGGCTTGGATTGCTGCTCGGACTGGGACTGGGATTGGGACTTGCATTGGGACTCTTCCTCGGTTCGTTTTGCTCCTGTTTGAGCGGCGACGAGACTGCTGGAGTCAGTGGAGCCGGCAGCATAGGCGTGGCGGACGGGGAGATGGTGGGCAGGACGGCCGCTGCCTTTTCCTTGGTCTGCTCCGACTTGGGAGACTGTGTCTGTGGCGGCCAGTGGTTGGACTTCAGGACGCTTTGGCTGCTGCCAGAAGAGCAGGGGCTTTCGGCGAGGACAACCAGCGAGGAGGCCGAGGTAGAGGCTATATTGTCATCTTCAGGCTTGACGGCCTTCTCCGTCTCACGCACCTTTTCCTTCTTCTCCAGCTCCTTTTCCATGTCGGCAATCTTCTTTAGGTAACTCTTGTCCTGGGTGGGACACTCCAAATGGACGCAGTGGAAGATCTGAAAGCAAAGAGCATTAAGAACCCGAAAATAAACATTAGAATCCAACGATACCCACCTCATTTGCTGTATTCCGGGTGCCCACAATGCGGATAAAGACCACGGGACGTGGGGCAAAGTGAAAGTTCTGCCAGGAGCGCGCCTTGTCGTTGCGCCGATCCACCACCATCTGCCAGTCCTTGCGGTTCGTCGAGGTTTCGATGTAGAAGCTGTAGGTGCGGTCGTCGCAGTCCCACAGCAGCAGGCGCATGGAGCCGACATGATACGGCTGGCCCAAACGAACGACAATCTCACCGCTGCCCAGCTGATGGCACGTGTAGCCCGAGTCCCAGTCATAGCGCACATAGTCGCCGTTGATCAGAGCATTGCGGGTGCGACTCACGCCGTCCGTCACAATGGCGCTCATCTCGATGGTGGCCACGTTCGCCTTGGGCGCCACGAAATGGTCGATCAGCCGCGGCACCTTGGCCGTGTGCATGGCCTCCAGGCCCACCACATGGAAAACCTGAAGTAAATCCAGGATTAAGTAACTAACTAAACAGTGATAAATAGACCCGGATTTTGCATATTTTTATAGGATAAAGATAGATCCATTCCGAAAACACTAAAGTTCGTTTCAATAAAAATATAGTTTAAAATTAATGGCATATTTTTTTTTTGCATAAGATTTATATGCATAAAATATGCAAAATATAAAATAAACTCAACTATTTAAGATTGAACATTTCATAGCCAACCTAATTTAACCGAAGAAAATTGTTTGTTTCTTTTCGTCATTTCTGAGATATCTAATTTTTCCCCAAAATTTAAGGAAACCCTTTTTATATTTCCAACGAGAAATAGTAAAAGGTGCAGAATAGTTTTTGGCCCTATCGGCTAAACCGCTCGTTTAAATTGCTCGCCGTCTTTACTGAAGGTTTCTTAGAATACCATAGGGCTACATTACAAATTTGAGCCTCCAATTGTTCACGTATATTTTGCCTATTTTGCAAATATTTTGCATATATTTTGCATATTTTATGCATATATTTTTTGCATATTTTATGTATATTTTTTTTGCACATATTCTGCATATTTCCGATATGCATCCGAATTTATTAATTCGAAAAATATGACACCTACCTAGAAATTTTGGTAAAAATCTGACCAAAAAGAGACAAATATGCAAAATCCGAGGTCTAGTGATAAACTCACCCGGTTAACTGTGTTCTGGGTGCCCACCAGGCGGATGAACCTCACGGGACGCGCCGCAAAGTAGAGATACTGCCAGGAGCGGCAGTGGTACTCGCTGTAGTCCACCACCCGCTCCCAGTGCTGCTGGTCGCCGGAGACCTCGACGAAGTACGAGTAGGCCCGACTGTCGCTGTCCCAGAGCAGCATGCGGATGTGATTGATCATGCAGAGCGTGCCCAGTTCGACCACAATGCCCGCATCGTTGCTGTCGGTGATGCAGTGGCGCGTGTAGCCGTGCTCCATGTCGTAGGTGGTCACATCGCCGTCGAGCAGGGCGGTGCGGCACTCGCCCTGGATGCAGCGCGACAGGAACTTGGCCGTGGCCACGTTCTCCTCCGGCCAGAGGGCCGCCCGGTAGGGCAGCGTCTTCGAGGTGCTGCGCTCGTCGATGGCGTCGAGTATTTTGTCGGGCTCCAGGATGCCCGAGGGACGGACCACCTGCAGCAGGTGCTCCAGGTTCATCAGCGGCAGGCGCACGAAGCTCACCACGGAGCGAATGTCGACGTTGGGATTGTAGCGGCTCCACTTCCACACGGCCAGGAAGATCTGCACCTCGGGGGCGAAGAAGCAGTCGCGCCGCAGCACCTCCTCCAGCGATTCCTGCAGGGATTACTATTAGTTAGACCTGTGTACTGGATTAACCCGATCTTAACTCACCTTAGAGAGCGTTTTGAAGGAGTCGTGCTGCAGGAGATCGGCCGCATTGCGGTCCATGAACATGAGGCACACCTGGGTGAGCTCCTCGAGGTTGTAGAGCCGCGCCGCGTCCAGGATCATGCACACGTTGCCGAGGGCCAAGTACTGGCGCAGATAGTTCGAGATGGCCATCTCGAGGTCCTGGAAGCCGTACTGATTGGCCATGCCGAGCACATCGATCACAGAGTCCTCGTCCAGGGTGGACAGGAGCAGGGTGCCCGAGTAGATGTAGCGCAGGAGGACCTTGAACGGATCCAGCGGCACCTCGAGCGGTATTTGGCGCTGGGTGGTCTCCGCCATGCCGCCGTAGAGCAGCGCCCGGAAGTACTCGCTGCGGGCGGCCAGGACGACGCGGTGGGCGGGCAGGCGCTGCTCCTCCACGATGAACTCGACGTCCGCGTACCGCTCGTTCATGCACAGGCGGGCCATGTCCGCCGAGAAGCGGTCGCCCAGGTCGATCTCGTCGGTGAACTCTTGCTCCTGGGCGCCGTTGCTTTTGCCGGAGCCGCTGGCGGCGCCGTTCTGCAGGCCGCCCGACAGCCCGCCCCCGCATCCCTGCATCTTGTGGTGTCCCTGGCTGCTCATCTGGCTGTCTGTTGTGTGTCTGTTCTGGTGGGGATTGTGTTTTTGCTCGCCTTGTTTCGCCAGAACAAATTGACGTCTCGGCTGCTGCGTCAAACCATCGATGACACTATCGATAGTATCGATTTGGGGTGAGAGTTGCCATAAATAATCGTTATTTGAAACTTTTATTTTAAAAGGCCTAATGAGATTTGTACAAGTTTTAATCAACAATTTAACTGGTTTTAATGCACTTTATGATATTATAAATAAATAACAAATAAATTTGCTTTCTAGATTTGTTGACATGCATATACTTTGTGGACAAGGGTTAAAAAGAAAGAGAAAATATCACAGTAGTTATTTTAAAAATAAAAATCTCAAATAACGCTTATTTACGGTCCCTGCCATTTATCGAATACATCTCGTACACCTGCTGTGCCCATCGATAACATATCGATTCGCCAGCCCATCTCCGCCAGGCCCGCAACGGTCACTCTAGACTTCAGTTTCAGCCCGTTAGGTCGAAAGCGCAGAGCAAAAAAAAACACAACCACAGCGAAGACGCACACACACATACGTCGCATCGATATTTCCTTCGAGAAGAAAAGCGAACCGAACGCTGCGTTTCCTAGCCAATTACCTGTTAACCACAATCATGAAGTTCCAATACAAGGAGGAGCACGCCTTCGAGAAGCGTCGCGCCGAGGGCGACAAGATCCGTCGCAAATATCCAGACCGTGTGCCCGTAAGTACTCGAATATATGTGTGTCTATATGCCTGTATGTATGTGCGAGTTTCTGTGTATGCGTTTGTTTTGCGTCGTTTTTTTCTTTTTTTTTTTGTTTGTACCGAAGAAAATCAATACTGCGCATATTGGGCATTTCGGTGATTGCTAATATTTTCGCCAGGCAAATCAGGTGGCTGGGGAAATTCGAGCGTTGGGGGTTGCATAAAATGCATTTGCAGCTGGGAAAACCTTAGCGAAAAACTCTCAAAGGGAATTCAAACGAAAATGGTCCCCCACACACAAGCACACACGCACACAGATGTAGAGAAGAAAAAACAAAAAGAGAACAAAGCAGCCATTTCACTTGCTCAGCTGTTAAGGTGTTGTTGTTTTTCACAGCTAGATTGTATCTGCTCTCCTCTCTCTTCCTTCCACCCCCCGTTTACACAGAAAGAAAATGTTTTTGTTATTTAATGAGCGAAAAGTATTGGCTATTTAATCAGCTGATCATTTAAAATCCATATTTATTTAATAATTGTAAAAATCAATTAGCTACCATTTTTTCCCAGTGCACAAACCAGTTGTTTTTGATTTTAATTTCGTTTGTTTGCCTGTAAAAACGAGCGAGTACTGCGCATAAAAAAACCACTAATACAAGCGCTGCTCGTTTTGTTTTCGCAAATACACAAACTGCGACTGGAATTAGTCATAGATGAAAAAACAAAAAGTAAATAACAAGAAAAACAAAACAAAACAGAGGGTGGCCTCTTCTTCTTTGTTGTTTTTCTGCTATTTCACCACCTTATCAGCAAACTCCTTTCACAAAAAAAAAAAAAAAAAATAAAACCCTGAAGGTGCCCCAATCGCAGCGAGAAGTGCATTAAATTCACACTCAACGCTCTTGTTTTCGATTTTGATTTGGACTGACTACATATGTATACATATACATATATGCACCCCAAATATTGTGTTATTTTCGTTTGTTTTTGGCAAGTGCACAAGTGCCAAAACACAAATCGCAAATCACATAACAGCTGAGCGAGGGGCAAGGCCAGCTGGTCGCTGGTCCGGACCATATATATCCGAATTCTGTATTCTATATAGCACTTGCTACTATATCATACCAACACCTTGATTTCGGCCAATGACGCCAACGAATTTCGATGGGGGATTTAGTATTGGTATTAGTATCAGAGGGGTGGCAAGTGCGATAAGCAGTTTGCTAATTCAGTATTCATTATGTTGAACCCCGCTTCCTGTTCCAAAGTCGGCCAAACCAGTTTATCGATAATTTGGCTAGCCAAAGGCTAACTTATAACCCCCCTGGCTAGAACGGATCGTCTAGGCCAGCTAATACTATGTTCTAAGCATATGCATATCATCAATCTTAAGTAATTTCAACAATGTTTTCAGTCCCAGGGATACTGCATTATTGTTAGCAATCAAAAACTACTTAGGATTTTTAGTTTAATACTACAAAGGGAGACCTTGATTAGAATAGAAAACAAAAGGAATTTTCAAAATGCTTAACCAAGTTCTTAATTTAAAATTTATAATAATTATATTATATTAATAATAATTATTATTAGCAAGCAAAAACTACTTAGGATCTTTAGTTTAATACTACAATGAGGGACCTTGATTAAAATAGAAATAAAAGGAATTTTCAAAATGCTTACTTAAATTCTTAATTAAAAATAAATATAATAATTATATTATAATTAATTAATTATTATTAGCAATCAAAAACTATTTGGTATATTTAGTTTATTACTACAAAGAAGGACCTTGATTAGAATAGAAAACCAAAGTAATTCACAAACTACATACTTAAATTCCTAATATAAAATTTATAATATATTGAATTTGAAATAATAATAAAAACACAAACGACATCTTAAATTGATCACGAAAAACACGCGCATATATAATTACATGCTCGTACTTACGAAATTACCAAATGCAGCACGAAATTACTCATTGCTATTACGGAATTACTCATTCTGTTACAGTACTTGTATTGTCAATAAATATAATTGCATTTCATAAGAGGTATATTCTCTTAAAATATAAATCAATCCATTCAATAAACGGCTTTTGTATAATATCAAACACCAAATAGTTTAAATTGTAGCCTGCTCAAACTGGTTGTTGGTACTATCGATTGCCAAGGTAGCACGTATTCGAGCACTCTGGCCGTTTGTGAATTGCAAATTTTTGCGAAATATGCGAACATTTTTCGGCACGTAATCGGGTCTGAAAAGATAACTTGTACAACCAGCTCACCTCCTGTTTTTTTCTCCACCCTCCCTTCCATCGCCAGGTGATCGTCGAGAAGGCTCCCAAGGCGCGCATCGGTGACTTGGACAAGAAGAAGTACCTGGTGCCTTCCGACCTGACCGTCGGTCAGTTCTACTTCCTCATTCGCAAGCGCATCCACCTGCGTCCCGAGGATGCCCTCTTCTTCTTTGTGAACAACGTCATTCCACCAACATCGGCAACCATGGGCTCCCTGTACCAGGTAACTAATCCCTGTCCCCGCCTTTTCCCCACCCACAATCTAATCCCTGGAATTTCGCTTAAAGGAACACCACGAGGAGGACTACTTCCTGTACATTGCCTACTCCGATGAGAACGTCTACGGCATGGCCAGGGTCAACTAACTCTGCTCCCGTTGGCGGCGGCGGAAAACAACCCCCTATAAAGAAATCTATATATAAATAAAATATATTTTGTGTTTAGCATGCAAGCTTAAAATACGGACGCGAGTTAGCTAAACGAATTGAGGAAAACCGCAGGAAATGCCACGCGAGAAAAGAACTTGAAAGCGATCTGAACCAGGGCAACAAAAAAATCCACAAAACAGAAAACTACAAAAAGAATTGTTATGTGAACATTATTTTATATATATACATTTTCTAAACGCGTTAGTATTTGAATTAAACCTCTGCTTTGTCCTACCATTAACCCCCGAAAAAACAGATCTATTCACACCCCTTCGGCCCATCTAATTTCCATTTGCTGTACTTGATCCGTGCGATTGCGACTGCGATTGCAATTGCACTTGTACCTTACTTTGTTCGCTTATTTCAATGATTTCACCCTTTTTTTTACAATACAACAAGATGTTGTGCATATTTAGTGTGTATGGTTACGAATAGGACTCTCTCGGTTAAGTGTACGGTAATTAATCTATTATTAAATAAACAAAAACCACAAAAATACACAAGCAAAGAGTGTTTCGTTTGGTATGGGCTAGAAACCACTTTCGGATATTGTACATTATCGTAAGACTTATTTGATTGCGAGGTAAGAGACAGGAAAATGTTCTTTCTCGCTGCTTTTTCTTTTGTTGAAAGAACAATGAATCCTTATCTCTTGAAAATAAAATGAGTACACAATGGGTTCATGTTTTTTCTATATTATGAATTTGTTAGGAGCAATATCAATAATTCTTTAATTATTATTATAAATGTTAGTCTGATAATTAGACAAAGAACTTTTAATAAAAGGTAATAAGTTAATTCCTTTATCTAGCAATTTAGAAAACCATAAGAGATAACTACTGACGTGTTACTAGCACAACAGTTAACATAAAAACACGTTTAGTCGGTGACTAATTCGCTTTGTTTCGCCAATTAATTGATAATCTTATCGCTACACAGCCAACTTTCAAGCATTTTAAAGTTCCCGCCTAGTTCCGTTTCAATGGGCAGCACTGCCCATGGCCACACTGTTCAGTGCTGCAAAACGATGGAGTGTAATTTTTTGAAAATACCGACATTGCCCATCTCTTTCCTCCCCATAAGAAGTACACGTGCAGAAGGGAGACGGAAGAAAGTAGAAAAAATACCGAATATTTATCACGCACTTAGGGGATTTCTGCACTTGGCGTTTTTGGCATTTCCCCGGCACTCGCAGGAGACCCAAATGTAATTCAATGAATTAAATGTGAAACATCGTGCCAAAGTGCAGACAGTCAAAGAAGCAGGTAAATCCAGTGCACCTGGTCAGCTGCTCGAGAGCCCGAAAGCCAAAAAGCCGGATAAAAGCGGACTAGTTACAAAACAGCCCGGAGAGGTGCGAACAAAAAGGGAAAACAAAGCGGATGGAAAAACTACCAACTTTTGCCAATTGTTTGTTATTGCTGTGCTAGTGTTGTTGTTCTTGTCGTACTGCCCGTTGTTGTTGTTTTTGTTGTTGCTGTTGTAACTCGTGACGGTGGAAATTAGTGAATTAGTAACGAGTTGGTAAAAAGTGGTAGTTGCAATTGATTTTTGTGCCTCGTCTGGCTTGTTGTTGTCAGGGGGTGGTTTTCGAAAACCCCTCGCAAAATCCACCCGCCGCTGGTTTTTTGAACTCTGGCGGAAAAACAGCTGCAGCGATTGCCACACGAAAAAGTTTAGAAAAACTTAACACTTATTGAATTATGGCGAAACACGCTGACTGAGACAAAAACAAAAGAACAAAAAGGGGGAGAAGTGGGGGAAAAGTGAAATAACAACAACAACAACAACGGTAACGGTCGTGTGTTATTGTCGTCCACTCAGCTTGTTTTTGTTGTCTATCGCGCGCCGTCCGCTTTGTGCTCTTTCGCTTCTGTTTTGCGCTTCTGCTTCTTGTTCTTTCCCCAGTTTTTTTTGCGCGCATGTGGATTCATTTTATTGGTGCTCAAGTATCGCATGATAATCTCACGCTACGTCCCTCGTAATTGTTGTTGTAATCGCCGTTGTTCTGCTCGCGGAGCTTTTGTTGTTGTGCTTTTCCGCCTCAGACACCACACACACGCACTCACACTCACCGCCAGCTTGCCGAATATTGAAGCCATTTTCCCAGCAAATCAAATTCAATTTAGAAAACTATCAACTAGCCCGCATAATGTGAGAAAAATGATAAATTTAAAGCCAGCCGAAGATTTTCTACCCTAACTGTAGGGAAAATTAGTTTTGGAGTTCCCTAGTTTTTCAGAAAAAGAACCCTTAAAAAGGTCTTTAAAGATATCTTGATACGACAAAAATTAAGCTATAATCTTAACAGAAAAAAATATAGTTTTTGTATTACCAAATCTTAGTTACATTTGATATTAAAAGTTATTTTAATATTATTAATTAAAAGACTGATTTTTTTTTGAATCCATATCACATCTATAAAAAATTTCTTAATTATTTTATGTTTTATGTAAAATTAATTATTATATATTGGATTTTCTAAATATTTGTAGTTGTTTTATCAAATTCATCAACAGTTATTTTAATTTCGCTTGAAAGGGTTTTAAAAAAAGGTTAAGCTCTTATCCATATATTTTTTGTATGGTTTTTAAGTAATCGTGGCAATTCTGACACATCTTAGTAAAAATGTGAGTCACAAATAAATACAATTGTTCAAGTTTTTATGAAAAGTTACTAGATTATTATAAATTAACTAATATATAAAAGATATAAGATAATAATATTGCAGCCAAATTATTATTTTTATACTGTGTAGCTCTATAAATCGTAATTAAATGAAGGTGGACCTCTTAAAATAAAAATATATCTGAAACTAAACAGCTAAACATAAATTGAAGACCTGATAAGGTGATTAAATGATGTACGCAAAGATTTAGTGCTTTCACATTTATCTGTAACCCTTAAGCATGGGCTAAAAACTAGTTCATTATCACCTTATCACTTATCATTTATCCCCTTATCAGTGAAAATGAGATCTTGGCTGCTGGCCTAGTGATAGTACCCTTTTTTACCAGGGCAAACAAACCGAAATCAGGGCAAGCTCGTTGGAACAATTCGAAATTAGAGTAGCTGCTACACTTTGCACCCTCGTCAGTAGGAGCTTATCAGTTTATCAGTGCCGCAGACGGGGCGTTTTTATTTGGATTTTGTGCGTGCCGGCGAACGGTTTAAATTTCAAATTCTCTTCAAAATTCCGCTCGAAATTCCCGATTTCCCTGCCTAATTCGAACCGATTCGACTAACCGATTGGGCATTCTCCATTTTTTATGTTTCCAAACAACACAGCCGCTTGCAAGCCAACCGCTTAAATGTCACAACACTCGAAAAAGGACGGCAGCAGTAGCGGAAGCGGTAACGGCAGCGGTAGCCATGCCGGCAACAACAAGAGCCACAAGCGGCAGGCGGCCAACGGCAGTCTGAAGGCACAGTCAACCTCCCACTCCCACAGCCAAACGCCCTCGAAATCGCCCAGCGGCAGTAGTAATAGCAACAGTAGCAGCAGCAGCAGAAGCCTCAGCGGGAGCAGCATGCAGGCTCCTCCTCCGACGAAGAAGAACCAAAAAGACAAGCAGCGCGAAAGGGAGCGCGCGGAACGCAGCCAGCTGGTCCTCTGGCGACGTCCCCTGCAGACCACCAAGTACTGCGGCCTCGAGCTGGCCGCCTTGCTGCGCACGTGGAGCACCAGGTGAGTCGCTAGTCAGTCTCCAGATCCTTCGATTAATCTATTAATACAATCTCCTACTTACAGACTGCTGCAGCAGCGACTCCTGCTGGCCGCCCTGATAGTATTAGGCATCGTATTTAGCGTAATTTACAAAATAGACGGCCCCCACCAGTTGGCCATTGAGTTTGTGCGCCGGAACACCTGGTTCTTCGTCTACTGGCTCGGCCTGGGCGTCCTGTCGTCGGTGGGCCTGGGCACCGGGCTGCACACCTTCCTGCTCTACTTGGGCCCGCACATAGCCAGCGTCACGCTGGCCGCCTACGAGTGCAACTCCCTGCGCTTCCCGCAGCCACCGTATCCAGATGAGTGGGTATTACGATACTCTTGTTTGTCCCCTGATTAACTCTTTTGTATAATCCCACAGCATCATCTGTCCCGAGGAGCCGTACGACAAGCGGGTGCCGAACATCTGGTCCATCATGTCCAAGGTGCGCATGGAGGCCTTCCTCTGGGGCGCCGGCACAGCGCTGGGCGAGCTGCCGCCTTACTTCATGGCCAAGGCGGCGAGGTTGTCGGGCTACGATCCCGAGGACGCCGAGGAGCTGGCCGAGTTCGAGGCTCTCAACGCGAAGCGCCACCAAAAGAACCTCAGTCTCATGGACAAGGGCAAGCTCTTCATGGAGCGCGTCGTGGAGCGCGTCGGATTCTTCGGCATCCTGGCCTGTGCAAGCGTGAGTGGTGAAAATCGCTATCCAGCGTGGTTCTTAAAGATAAATTACACTTTTGATTTCATTTTGCATTTCCATATTAATATTACTTTTATTAACCTTCTTTAATGATTAAGATTATATCACGATCTCAATTACTATTGAAGTTCTCATAATTTATATTAAAATCCCAATGTATCTATATAATAATATCTAAAAATATCCTTTATTAAACCTAATTGTTCTATTATATTTATATTTATTCAAAATCATAAATGTTTCCATATTAATATTACTTCTATTAACCTTCTTTAATGATTACGATTATATCACGACCTAAATAACAATTTTAGCTGTTTTTAACTTATATTAAAATCCTAATGTATTTATAGAATTATATCTAGAAACATTCTCAAATATTAAATAATTAATATTTCCATATTAATATTACTTTTATTAACCATTTTTATGAAAAAGATTATATCCCGATCTTACTAACTATTGAAGCTTTCTTAACTTATATTAAAATCCTAATGTATTTATAGAATAATATCTAGAAAAATGGTTAGATTAAACCTAACTTTTCTATTATATTTATATTTATTTAAAATCATGATAACTAATGTTTCAATTCCTTTGCAGATTCCCAATCCCCTGTTCGATCTGGCCGGAATAACCTGCGGCCACTTCCTGGTGCCATTCTGGACGTTCTTCGGGGCCACGCTGATCGGCAAGGCGGTGATCAAGATGCACATCCAGAAGATCTTCGTGATCATCGCCTTTAATGAGACGCTGATCGAGCGGGCCGTCGATCTGTTGGCCTCGCTGCCGCTGCTCGGCCACAAGCTGCAGGAGCCGTTCAAGTCCTTCCTGAAGAACCAGAAGCAGCGTCTGCATCGCCAGCAGCGTGGATCCGGTGGCTCGGCATCCGGAGCGGGCGATTCGGGCAATCTGCTGTCCAGGATCTTCGAGACGTTCGTCATCGGAATGGTGTGCTACTTCGTGGTGTCCATCGTTAACTCCCTGGCCCAGAGCTACCACAAGCGGCTGCACAAAAAGCCGGCGACGGGGGCTGCGACCACGCCCACTCGCCTGGCGGCGGGGGCGGCGCCGAGCAAGAAGGCGGGAAAGCAGAAAGCTTTACGGGACTAGAGAATCGGTGGAAGTGTTTTTCTGTTGATCGTTGCCCCCCAAAAACCCAAAATCATACCCCTCTTTCGTTTAAATTATTTTGTTTATTGCGGCCTTCGCTCTTAGTCAAATTATAAACTGTATGTGAGTGTGACCGCGAGAGGAGGAGACGGCCGGAAAGCCAGAGGAATTTACCTTGTAGACTAGATTAGGAAAAACAGAAGAGTAACGCAGCAGATGCAGTAGCAGCAGCCACAACAATAGCCAGAGCAGAATATATTTTAGTAATGTACAAGAAGAAAACCCTAGCAATTTTCCGCGCGAGTATCGTTTCGATGTAGCGAAAGTGAGAGGGACGCCGCTAGTCGCTAGTCGCGCCTAATGAAAAGCAAATTGTGCAAAAGTTGTGCAAAAGACAAACAAGCCAGAGCAAACAGAGAGCCCGAAATAAAAATAAAATTTAGCCAGGAGCGAGTGGAAAGTATAGGAAAGATTTAAAAAGTGCTGAAAAATAAATGAAATATGGATATACAAATTAAAGCCGGACGTATGCCTCAATTTAGGTGGGATTTCAGTTGGGCGAAAATGATTACTCCCAGCATAAGCCTGGCTTAATTAAAGATTAACTGCTGAAAAATAATAAACGATATATGGATACAGAAACAAAAGCCTGCAAATGTATGTACGTATCAGTTTACAAGGAACTGAAGTGGTTTAGCTGGAAAGGCAGTCGATTAACACGAGGATGAGTAAGCTGTCCTCGCGATTTCCGGCTAAACCCAATAATTAATACAAAGAAAACATTAAACTGAATATAGCGTGGGAGGAAACAGATGAAATAACTAAGTGCAAATTAATAAATAAATAATGGAAATACAAATCTGCTGCATTTTGATATTTGAGGCAAGAACGAAGGGTACTTTTTCGATATTTTGGATTACTAAATCAGAAAAAAACAAGGGAGAACGTTGAGAGAATATTGAAATTTGAAACAAAATATCGGATGAATATATTTTTCAAAAAGTTCACCAATTTTTAGCTGGTAAGTGATTTTTTTTAAGTAGCTCTAAAGACGAAGAAATGGTTGTGCTGAGTAAGAAAAGACCAAAAGCATAGATAATACCAGTTAACAGCAGTGGGAAAAAAGGCGAAAAGATAAGGATAATACTCGTTAAATGCTTGGAAAAGGGGAGTCCGCCTCAGTTGGTTAAACAGCGAAATCCGTTGATTGCCCGGGGACTCAGATACGCAGATACGCAGAAAATCCGTTATCAACAGTTGGCCAACAGCTCGAAATCAAGCTGGCACTCATTAAGCCAAATAGCTGCTGGCCCATGGCTACGCTTCTATTGTTTCCCTCCCTTTCTCACTCACTCCGTATTCAGTATCCGGCTCGAAGGACAATTGCCGCTGCTGGCATGTAAGTGGGCTGGGGGAGGGGGAGCAGGGTGATGATGCAGACGCGCTTTGAATGCCTAATCCTGTCAACAGTTACAGCTAACAAAAACAACAACAACTGGCAGGAAGGCAAACAGCGATGACAACTGCCAGCGGCGAAACGGCGAAAGCCGTCACACAGTGTCAACACTACACTACACAACACACTCTTGCTTGGATTGGATGGACCGAGAGACAGTTGGACAGGACCAAAAGGACGAGACGTGCGAAATGTCAGCCGACCAGGACGACTTTGCACGTACATTAAATATTTTCATTTAGCTGTCAGCATTTATTTAAAATGGACACACAGCAAAGAGAAAAGGGGTGATGCCCAGTAGTTTTGGCTGCATAAATTCCACTCGGCTGCGTAGGTGGGTGTGGCACCACCCCCCCTCACAGACAGACACACAGACAGACGCAGGAGTCGCAGGATATGTACGTGCGTGGCACGGCAATCGCCTGTCCTGTCGCCTTTGACATTGTTTGATGTTGATATGTACACCTCAACGAAGCGAGGAGCAAAGCCTCCGTTTTGGGTCGTAAAACTTTCATCTTCCTCCCGTTTTCACACCACTTCAACGTCATTCCGGAAAAAAAGGACCTTGGGATCTCAGTACGCCTTTTGATTTGGAACCATTTTTGTCCAAGTCACAGCAAAAAGACAAATTTCGAATTTGTACCAAAAATCAAAGTCCTGACTTTCCACCCAAAAAAATATAGTATTTTGGTCATAAAAAATGAAATAATGATCCAAATATTAAATGCCATATTTCCCAATCGATCTGCATTAACACCTGGAAATTTTTAATTCTTGCCAATTTTCGCAAAAAATCATGATGTAACCCCTTATCAAAAAAGTGAAAATTGGGTCCAAAATTTATTTTTTTTTAAATCAAACGAAAAGTCTACTGATATTCATTTTTAGGTTGTTAGCTGCTCAAAACCGTACGCCTTTTTGATTTGGGACCATTTTTGGCTAAGTTACAGCCAAAAATCGATTAGGAAAAATTTCGAATTTGTACCAAAAATCAAAATCCAGATTTTCCACACAAAAAATAGTATTTTGGTCATAAAAATTGAAATAATGATCCAAATATGGAAAGCCTTACCTCGTTGAACACGTAATTAAATTCGATTGGCATTACAACCTGAACATTATTAATTTTTGACAATTTAAGCAAAAAATTATGATTTAACCCCTTTGCAGAATTCTACCTCTGGCAGGAATGACATTCTCTAAGCTCGAACTCAGTCTCTGAATCCTTCGGCGCTTGGAATTCTGCACACTTTGGCTTCTTGTCGCCGAATCCGCATTGAAAAAGTGATTTTTTTCTTTTTCAACAAAAGCCTTACCGGGAAAGTATGCAATACAATTATGTTGCGTGAAAGCGGGACAGACAGGTCAAAGCCCGCAAGAGCGAGCGAAAAAGAGAGTCGGAAACTGTCTCCAGTGCGGACCCCTTGGCTTTTATCTCGCCAAAAATTTCCATATTTTTTTGTTAAGTAACTTTTTAAACGCAAAGCAAAATCTATGACAATCCATATAATAGAGTTTTTTCTAACAAAAAATACATCAATTCTTAAATGAGATGGTTCGAGTGTCAGAAGTAAATCTTACCATTAAAAATTGTATATATTTCTATATATATATTTTTCGGAACAATTCTTTTTGGTAGAAGAGATATCCTTTATTTCAGCTGCTAGAAAACATAACAAATGCGACAACACCATTTGTGTGCGTTTCAGAAGGCTTGGGGCCGCGAGCTTTGCTTTCGGCCTGTGCGCGTGCAAATATGACAAAGCTCCAGCACAACCCAACCTCCGCCTCCTCCTCCCCCTCGGTTCCCGGCACTTTGGTATCTTCCTGCGCGTGGCCATATGGTCGTTAGCCGACTCCACTGTGCAACAGGCGGGGCGAGGGGAGCTGCGGAGGCAGTCATGGCGATAGTTTTCAGGGATGGCCCCTCTGTATTACTATGGACCTATCGATCAACTCTACGAAATTACCCCAGTTCGGCAGGGACCTTATAAAAGTTTTTCATTTTGTAACTCACACTAATATCGGGGCCTTAAAACTATTGTATCTTTTAATAGATATTTAAAGCCAAAAGTTTAAAATTTTCTTCGTTCTATTACCTTTTTATTTTTGATACAGTATTCCAATATAATAAAATACATTATTGCTTGGGATATTTTATGAATTTCAGGAGATATTTCATGTTCAAATATAATAATAAACATTATGGCCTAGCATATTTTATAAATTTGGATGAATTTCAGGAGATATTTCATGTAATTTATGGCATTTAAGAAATAATAATAAAAAATTGAAAATCAGATAATTGATTTTGAAATTTCAACGACCGCTGTGAAGTATGCTATGAAAATCCATTTTCCGTTATCCTGTAAAGTGAAGATGGTTACTGTTTCCCCTGAAGTTACTGTTCGATCACGTATCCTTTTTCGATAGTCCCCGAACTCAGAAGTGCCACCTCTGGCGGCTGCGATAACGGTCTGAAGGCCTGACTCCATTCGTTCCTTTCAGCCGCGTTGCGTTGCGTCAGTCGCAGTCGCACACCAGCTGCTCGCGCTTTCGGACGTGTTTTCGCATCCGTTTCGTACCGCTTCGCAGCCTCGCAGCTTCGCAGGCTCCTTGCCGCCAAACCCGAAAGAACCAAACACTCCGTATTCCAAAGCCAAACAGAACAGGCTGGAGAGGCTCGGCCCCATGCGAATATAATGTGACAGGACACGATGGACTTCCAGAATCGCAACAATACGGCCAACAAGTTTGTCTGCCCGAGCGACAGGCAACTGGCCCTGCGTGCCAAGTAAGTACGGTGCATTTTGCAGTGTGTATAGTGCATACGGTGTATTAGGCGCATTATCCTCGAAAATGGCATTGAAATGCAACAATTGGCTTTCGTTTGAGTGCGTCACAGCAGCTGCAATGATAACGGTGCTTTCAGTTTTGTTTTTTCTATTTTTTTGCGGTGTGTGTCTGTGTGCTAAAAACAAAAACAACCAGCGACAATGTGACAAAAGCTTTAGTCATAATTTAATTAACTTTGACTGTGTGTGTGTGTGTGAGTGGTTGCGGCTGATTAGCCGAAAGCCTAATCAAATCAAATACATGTGCGCACTCACACAGCGAAGGATGAAGAGAGGAAGAGAGAGAGAGAGGGGGATATACATATAGGGACATATGATATAGAGTGTCCCTGAGCTGTCAAGTGTGTTGTTGTTGTTGTTGTTGTTGCTGTGCTCTTCAAGGAAAGCCGCGTGTGACCATGTGCCTTTCTAATCATAATTGTTGCATGCTGACAGATTAATTAAAATTTAATAACGCTCAATTCTTTACGACACCCAGAGTTTTATTTTTATGGCCCCTCGCTGGGGCTTTCATTTATTTATTGCAATTGACGGAGAGCTTAAATAAAAATGAGAGAAAAAAAAGAAAAAAGGCGCGAGGGCCATTTACATGATTTTGCGAAACACCCGAAAATCCACCAATCCAAAAAATATCCCCCGATATCCCCAACATATGCTCCGCATAGCATACTGTTTGGGGCCAACCAACTCAACCCGACTCTACTCAAATCAATCCCAGCTGACTGTAAATGCGACTTGGGCGCATTAAAAATACAAAAAGCCGCACACAGACACGCACAGCGGGGTAGTTTGTGGGTGTGGGTGGTCCGGGGGGTGGTGGTCAGGGGGCGGGGGAGGTGAAGGTTGGCAGGTTTCAAGTGTGCAATTTACACTTCCGCTCGCCCGCAACATTGTAAGCACTCACGCTCCCGCACGCAGACAAGCAAATTGGGGTGGACATGATTTAATTATATACCTCAGATGGTGGAGGACAGAAAATAGTAAGAAACAAATTAGCAAAAACCTCGTTGCATTTTAAAAAGGACTCTATAAAAAGAAAATGGGTGGGTTTTATGCTGCTTGGATAAATTGAAAATTGCAAGGATTTAATTAAGGGTTTATTTTTAAGTTTTGAAGAATGATATCATTTCAAAGAGCAGCGATAGATTTTTCCTCAGTAATATAATGTGTAATTAAAAAAAAAATTTTTAAACAACGGAATGATATCACATAGATATAGATGTAATGTGTAATTATTTAGTAAATCAGTTAATGCTCGGTTGCAACACTGCGTATGAGTAACATTGTATTTCCAGGGTACCTGTTTTTGGAATTTTAAAATCAGTAAAAGGGCTTTTTAAGGCAGCCAAGGTCCACCCTAACACACAGCAGCATAGAAACAAAGAGCTTTTGACTTTGCCAGCGAGTGAAGAGGGGTTACAGGGAGGTCAGGGTGGACCTGGTTTGGGGTTGCTCGAAGGGAGCCCGAGCACTGAGCACTGAGCACTGAGCTCGTGGCATTGGCTCCGTACTTGAAATTCAAATTACAGCTCAAGGGAGTCGGAGTCCCACATCCACACCCACAGAGAGCCAAAGAAGTGAAAGAAGCTAAAAGGCAAGTGGAGATGGAGAATTAACGTGAAACTCAAATCGCGGCCACATGCCAGAATCCAGACTTCAGACTCCAGAATCCAGAATCCAGACACTTCTCCAGTGCGTTTGGCATGCTTAACTATGCAAATGAGACGATCTTTGCCAGGCCACCAAATCTGGCGACAAGCACTTTGACTTTTATTAAATTCAGCTCAGGCCGCAAAGTAACAGAGGCTGTCGCCTCTTTATTCGGAAATCATCATCCTCCTCAAGAAAAAAGGGGAATGGGGATGTCAGAAAGGAACTACGAGTCGACTCACATATCGAAATACATAACGGCTGCGGAGAATTCCAAGAACTCTCGAATATAATAAAGCTACAGAGTATTGAATTTAAATCCTCCTTTCAAAAGGAGGGAAATCGAGCTTCACGTTTTTATTTATTCCTTGCCTTGCTCTTTTTCCTTAGTTTAATTTCGCTTTCGAACTGAAAGGAGCCCAAGTACAATTGTGAATTGAGGTAAATTGAGGCTTCTCATTGTTAGGACCAGACTTTTAGGTTTGCTCTTGTGCGAAAACTTTTCAAATAAGCACATTGCGCAAAGTTTCGAGACTTGAAAGAGTTTTCGAACTTGACAGAAACGTGACAAAAATCTATGAATCATTACAATCATGCTATGGACATTACATACATAATTGAGCATATTAAGATGATTCCATAAATTGAATATTCTATTTTACATAGTTTTACCTAATGGGATAATATTTCCTTTTGTCCAATAAATGAACAATTTTGGAATATTCTAATTAGAGCTTTTTATTTATCGATATTTTCGATATTTTCACAATATCGATTCGATAATATCGATGTTTTTAAGGAAAAATACATATAAATTTCAATCTTTTATAGTATTGTGTATATTTTTCTACAGCAAGGCAGTAACTCCCCTTGTTTCCAATTATTTTTCTGGTTATTAATGTTCCAATGTAATTTCCTTCTTATTAATGCACCCAAAATAAAGTCATTTCACGGTGAATTCCGTCTTTGATAACGAATTCACTGCTTATCCTTAGATGGATTACTTTTCGTGTAAGTCACGTTAAGGCCACCAATTGACTTCGTCATGCAGTCATCTGTAAGAAAAGTTATTTTTATTTTCGCTCATTGTTTTTTTCCCTGACAGATACTGAATTCGCCGTTAAGTTCATGGTCGAGCTCAGTATGAAACAATCAGATTTTTTGTAACAATAAACTCCGGCCCAACCATCAATTTGGGGGCTCAACTCGAGTCGCAGGACAGAACAGGACACGACACGACAGGACTTTATCCCTGTTTCTGTCCCCAGGACATGGGTTAAATGTCACTCAAGTGCCTCGATCGGGACGAAACTCTGAGTGCCCGGAGTGCGGCTCCCTATTTATTTGCTTATTCGGGGAAAAACTCGTTGCCACAGAGGCAAATGTTGATAGAGCACTAACCGAATTTGTAATTTAATTATTATGTTAAGGAACCTGCAAGGGCATTTAGGCCAACGCCCACCCGCCCAAAAACACACACACAAAAAGGGAAAACTGTGGAGCCAACTCGCATGGCCACGCAATCAGATGGCTATATGTATATATGTACATACGTACACGGGAAGTCAATAAACCCGACGTGAAGGCAACACGCACCCACTCGAAAACGAAGCTCAAGCATAACATGCCGCAACGGAACAATCAGGAGCAATGCAAATGAGCCAGCCAAGGGTTAAAAACTCGTTGTTTTCCATAAAAATAAAGTTTTTAGGGTTTTAAAATCACTTATAGAGGTGCCTCAAAGTATGCAACTGTATATTTTGACTCCCGATGAGCGATGGATTTATTTCACTGCATACTTGTAGGCCCCTTTATAAAATGTTTCAAAACCCCAGTGATTTTGACTATTTTCCTATTTAATTTAATATTAAAAAAATACTTGTATTACTGCTGTGAAAATGGAAACCATGCTTTTGGCTCTTTCAAACCGAATTCGGGTCTCCTCCGCCGTTTGAGTAATGGGTGAAATGAACCGAGCACTTGGGACCCAACAGCATGAACGAGTTAATTAACTTTGAACCCGACATTTTTGGCCAAGTGGCTGGGCAACATGGAAACCGCATTAGGCGACCCACAACTAACGATGCTCATTAGGCAGCCACTCATCCCTGGCCCGCCCATTTTTACACCTTTTACACATTTGCGTAGAAGCCGTTGCGTTAATAATTTAACCGCCATCCCTCTCGATCCGAGTTAACGAGAAATTAAGATCGATGTCAAATTAATTATTTAGCTTTCAAATTATCGATAATTTCGATATTTAAAACAAATAGATTCGATAATATCGATGCTTTCGAGGAAAAGACATATTTAATATCGAGAATAGGCAAACTGTTGATATCTTTTCCATTTTTCAAAATATAGATACGATAATATCGATATTTAATTGGTAAAAGACATATTTAATATCGAGGAATAGCAAACTGTCGATATTTTTTCAAGCTCTACTTAAAACTTTCTGCAATACACAATTTAAGAATCGGTGGCCTACAGAAATGATAGTCTGTTTGAAATCATTTATAAATGATCCTAAAAGTATGCAGTGGAAAATATAAAATGTTGTTTTAAAATACTTTAAGGGTAGTTTTACGTTTTTAGAATCCTTGAAAATAGCTTAAAATGTAAAGACATCTCTCTACCACTAATTAATGTTCCATTTACCTTTCTGATTTCCTGGCAGATTAAAAGCCGGCTGGAGCAGCTCGAAGACCAGCGAACCGCTGCGTCCGGAGGAGCAGGAGGCCATCATCTCGGTGATCCGGCGCAACGAGGAGATCGAGGTGGCCGAGCGGCAGCGGGTGGGTCGTCTGGTGGAGCGGGTCGAGAAGATCAAGCAGCATGCGGTGGAGCGGGGGCCCAACTGCTGCCGCCTCTGCGGCGACGCCTTCGGCATCCTGCGGCCGCAGCGCATCCTGTGCGAGGACTGCCGCCAGTCGGTGTGCGCCAAGTGCAGCGTGGACATCAACATCCGCTACCACACCAGCGAGCGGTCCCGGGAGATCTGGCTGTGCCGCATCTGCTCCGAGACGCGCGAGATGTGGAAGAAGTCGGGCGCCTGGTTCTTCAAGGGCCTGCCCAAGTACGATATGCCGCGCAGCGCCAGTGCCACGCCCATTCCCACCCCGGGACACCCCGGATCCATGGCAGGTGGGTGGGTTTTTTCAGGGCGGTAGGGGGTTGTGAATGGTAGCGAAAGATAGCAGGCTAGAACGTGCCAGGAATTCAAACCCTTTGCCCTCATTCCTTAAAGCTAAGCTCCCAAGGCGGTTCGGAATCCTACGGAACCCCACAGCAATGCAAGGACAATAACATTAGTTTGCCAAATACAAATGTGGAACCCCTTCCCACCTAAGGAAGTTTTATTTAGCATTATTTCAAGTATTATTTAAAGCACACAGACTTTTTTTATCCTTTTTGTTTGGTACATTAAATTTAATGTATTTTTACTTACATTTCATGTTGTCCAATGACAAGGTCACATATTTAATTGTATAGATTCAGACAAAAGCTTTCAAGGCCGCGCGACATGCAAAATTCCACATTAATTTTTAATCTCTCGAAAAGCACTAAAGCCAAAGGCGATTTCTTCACAGGAAACACAAAGTGCGGAAACTCTTAAATATTCAACAAGTACACTATACTATTTACACAAAACCATTATAAATATTACAATGGGTTCCTTATATTTCCACTATCAGAATATTTATTTGAATTTTTAAAAATTTATTTTTTTAAATATCCCAAGTCCCAGCAAGTATTTAAAAACATATTTAGTAAACCAGTTACAACAACTATTCTTGAAACAAACAAATTAATTTTATTGGTGTAATGCTGAATGTTAGACACCCACGGAACCCACAAATGCTTTTTAAAAACAGCTAAACAATTGTTTTCGAATTTCGTTTCAGGAACATCATGAAATGTTTCCATACCCATAGTCCAATTCCAAATAAATCGTTATAGACGCTTCTTTATGGTAACCATAATCAGAGCTTCAACTGGATGGGTTCAAATAAAACAGTCAATAAGTGTAGTTCGTTCAGAGTCATTTGACAATTCCAACTCCAAATCGGTTCGACAAAAAGTGACAATGAAATTAATCAAGACACGCGAATTCTTCTCGAATTCCACTGATGTTTCTCCCATTCCAGCTAAAACTCATCAGTCGTCGATAGATATAAGCTTTCATTCAGAGCAACACCACTAATTACCTTCGACTTATCGACCTATCAACGACTATCGCTATTATCATCGTCCGCCCATCGCTATAATCGGGGTTCTGTCTAGTTTATCGCTTATCGAAAAGATCGCAGTCTGTGAATCGGAATCTGATAGCCACAGTGGTCAGGTCAGTTTTAGGTGCATTTCGATTGCGATTGCTATCGATACCGATACCGTACGACTATCGCTATTATCGCTTGAATCGGAATCAGAGAATCGGAATGTTGTAAAGGTATTGCTTCATTCCAAATCCCCCAACGATTCGATTGAGAGCACTTGCCATCGGGAAAATCGATAACCAATCGAATTGATCGCTAATCGCTGTATTTGTCTCTGTAATCGCAGGAGACACGCGGGCCGTTCAAAGCTGCCATGCGACGCCGACGCGTCCGGCGCGGGTAAAGAAGCTAACGATCCGGGTGAACGACAGCAGCTCCAGCAGCAGCGGCCACTCGGAGCCGGAGGACGAGGTGGACGCCGGGGCACTGGGCATTGGTGGCATAACCAAGGGCGTCTCCGCGAACCGACTGCAGCGGGAGGATAGCTTCCGGCTGAGGGCCTACGGCTCCATACGCAGCTTCATCGATGGCGGCGAGCGCAAGTTGTCCAACTCCTTCTTCTTTGGCCGCCAGCAGAGCCAACGGCCCTCGGAGTGCCCGGAATACGACAGCGTCAGCATGTCCAAGTTGCGCCGGGAGAGCAGCTTCCTGCGTCGCGGCTCCGTCAGCTCCTCCTGGTCGATCAGCGATAGTTCCGGTTCCGGATCCAACAACTCGGGCAACTCCCAATCGCAATCGCAATTCCAGCAGCAGCAGCAGCAACATCAGCAGCAGCAGCTGCACTGCCGGGATCCGCTGCTCGGCTGGCTGGAGATCGCCATCAGCTACCGGGAGGCCTTCCACAGCCTCGACTGCACCATGGTGCGGGCCCGGGATCTGCCGGCCATGGACGCCGCCGGACTGGCGGACCCCTACTGCAAGCTGAACATCATCACGCCGGAGGCGCACACCAAGTACACGCGGTGGCAGCGCACCAAGACGGTGCACAAGACCCGCAATCCGGAGTTCAACGAGACGCTGCAGTTCGTCGGCGTGGAGCCCGAGGAGCTGGGCAACTCGCTGCTCTACGTGGCCCTCTTCGACGACGACAAGTACGGGCACGACTTCCTCGGCGCGGCCAAGGTCTGCCTTTCCACGGTGAGTTCGGTTCGGGGTGCACTGGAAGAATAGAGAAATCGAAATATTAAAGGGCTAGGTAAAACCACAGAATTTTTTTAAATCTCCTATAAAAGTGTCTGAAAGTATGCTATGAAAAATCTAAAGACTTAAGGTAAAATATCGACAGTCTGATATTTTTCGATATTTAATTAGTGTTTTCCCTTCAAAACCTTCAAAACAAATTATCAAAAATATCGAACATATCGATCATTTTCAAGCTCTATCTTAAGAACTTTCCCACTTAAAATATATTGCTGCATACTTTTAGACACCCTAGCGGCCGAGGAATAGTGAAATCGAAATAACTACGGACTAATTAAAACCGCAGAATTTTTCCAATCTCCTATAAAGGTGTCTGAAAGTTTGCTATGGAAAATCTAAAGACTTTCTTAAGGTTAAATATCGACAGCCTGCTATTTCTCGATATTTAATTTGGGTTTTCCCTTCAAAATATCGAACATTTCGATCATTTTCAAGCTCTACCTTCAGGACTTTCCTCCTTAAAATATATTGCTACATACTTTTAGACACCCTAACCGGCAATTTCAAAACCATAGTGGTTTTTCTCACTGTGCAGAGCTTTGCAACCGTCGAAAAGCGTAATTGCTTATAAAGCCCCCCGGCATATCCTTTGCTACCAACTGAATTTATGCACAAACGTTCTGGCACAAAGGAAAATTCGGTTAATTGTGTAAAGCTAAGTACTTCATACAGTTGGGTGCTTTTCTCTGGCTTTTAACTTCTCCTCGGTTGCAACAACTAAGTAGTAATTGGTTTTCAAAATATATAAACTAGCAACGGAAGTAGAAAGTCGGTGGTGGACAAAAAAGGGTAACGGGGGCTATAAAGTGTTTTGTGTCCTGAGGTTGTGCACTATTCGGAGTTAGTAATAAACCGGCTTCCGAAAAATGGTTTAAAGAAGTCAAGAGGTATGCAAAGTATACCTAAAATAAAGTGTTGCATACTTTTCGACACCTTTTGAAAAGATTTAATAGCATCGTTTTCAAGGAATCCTTTAAAGATGTCAAAAAGTATGCAAAGTATTCAAGAAAATTTCGAATTTCAGACCCAAAATAAAGTGTTGCATACTTTTGAACACCTTTGTTTTAAAGATTAAATAAAATCGCTCAATTCGAATGATTCCTTTTCAGGTGCACAGCACATCGCAGTACCGCATTTCGGTGCCCCTGGGCGTGGAGGACCAGTACAGCAACGCGGCGGAGTTGGCCCAGAATTGGCCAAACGGCAAGATGCTGCTCTCCTTGTGCTACAATACGAAACGGAGGGCGCTGGTGGTGAACGTGAAGCAGTGCATCAATCTGATGGCCATGGACAACAACGGCAGCTCCGATCCCTTCGTCAAGATGTGAGTTAGTTCTCTTAAACTAATATTCCCCAATTAACCCGATTATCCATCCCAAACAGCCAACTCAAGCCGGATGCGCACAAGAACAAGAAGCACAAGACCAGCGTCAAGTGGCGCACGCTCAATCCCATCTACAACGAGGAGTTCTACTTCGAGGCGAGTCCCCACGACCTCAACAAGGAGATGCTCATCCTGACCGTCTGGGACAAGGATCTCGGCAAGAGCAACGACTTCCTCGGCAGCCTGCAGCTGGGCGCCCAGAGCAAGGGCGACCGCCTGCAGCAGTGGCTCGACTGCATCCGATTGCCCGACCACTTCCACGAGAAATGGCATTGCCTCGCCCCCGACAATCCCGCCCACTGAGAGACCCATCCAATCCCCACTCGCCCCAAAGTCCCCAGTCCAATCGGTTCGATCTTATCTGGACCGTCATGGATCTTTTCCTATAAGACACATTTTCACGAACTGATTTCTCAGCCCAGTTACGAACCGGAAGTCCAGTCAATAGCTTTTAAAATATCCTTTTTTTTCAGATTTAATTTTTTTTTTATCTAGCTTGTTATTAAAGTTAACAATAATGTTTAGTAATCGATTAGATTTTCATGTCCCAGGTATATTTTAACTACAATGTTTCCTATATAGATATTTACCATAACTTCTTACTCCATTTTTTGTACTTTCAACATTTAATATTTTAAGTAACAGCATTTTGAATATTTTAGTTCTTAGTAGTATAGCTTTTCTTTATGAAACTAATGACCTATTTTAGTAATTGGAATTTATTAATAAATAGAGGACGTTATATCGCAAAACTAAGGAGAGAAATCAGGTCGCGGAAATAAGGCTTTAGCTCCAAATATACACATATATATTAACATATACATACATATATATATTATATACATATATTTTTGATAAGCCTGAGTGGGTGTGAGTAAGCGAGAACAAGCTAGAGAGCGAGATAGCGCTAGGAGTGTTGTGTGTGTTTGAGTGACTGCTTTCCAAAATCTCGTACTTAACCCCAATTTTCTATGTCTATACTTTGGCTCCTAACGACATTTTTGTACACTGTATATAGCTTATTTAAGTGTCCTTACCAAGGGTTAACCAACATCAAAATCTTTTCGATTCATTGCTAAATTCAATCTATAATCAAACGTATACTTATGTACTTCAATATATCGAAATATATAAATCTATATTCTCAAAAAGTATCGAAGGCTTTATTGCAAAGGGGTTTGTATACTTAAAGATGGAAAAGAATATATCATATAAATAAACTTAAAACAAAAATAAAAACATATAAAAAAGTCCTGTCTACGCCCCAATAAAATCTATTACATTTTTTTTCAATGGCTCAAGTTTTACTCAAGCTTTTCCACCGCTTTTCAAAAGCTTTTGGCCAGCCTAAAGGCAGAAATCCATTATCTACGCCCCAAAACCGAAAACATATTACATTATTTAACGTACTGATAAGCTATAAACCCCTTTCAGAATCTGCTGATAAAGTTTAGCCCCCGTAATAATTAATAAATCCCTTCGAAATACTTTCCATTTAGTTTCAGTTCACATTTAATAAGTTTGGCAGAGTTTTAAAACTTGAAGCGAGCTTCATCATAATAGTATAAACATCCAACACTATACAAATAGAGATTAACATCTATATACATATAGCGTGCCAAATAAGTAAGCGGCCAACCAACGCGTTGCGCTCGATGTAGGTAAAGATATATATGCATATAGCCAATATATGAAGATTACATAGTTTCTATGCAGATCAGACGACCTGTAAACACTTAATATTACGATTCTGCCTTCCAGACAGATGGATTGGGTATACACATGTGTGCGGGCGATTCGAGGTAACCTCCGGCGCAACCAAAAAAGGGAATCTGTATGTCTATATATCGTTAACGTCGGCGAGTCCAACAAGACTTAACCTAACACTGGTAAAACTCCAGAGGGAAAAGGGTGCGCTATTCACTTGCGATCGAATAGGCGGTTGTAGTCGAGCAGGTTGTTTGCTCCAGATCGGTGGCGATGCTGCTGCTGCTGCTGATGCTGCTGATGGACAGGGGCAGCCACTCCTCCGCTGCCCATTTCCTGTGCAGCCGTGGTCGTATGTTAGAAGAGACGCTTCTCGTAGCTGAAGAGGCCGTGGACATTGCCCTCCAGCTGAGCGGAATGGGTGCGCTTCATGAAGCGCAGTTGGCCGTTGTAGATCATATCCCTAAAAAAAAAGACGGAATGAGAATGATGATTGATAAGGGATTGCCCTGACTCACCTCAACTTATTCACCGAATTGGCACCGATATCCTGACAGCTGTGCTGCAGTCCGCACTCCAAATACGGCAAGTAGCGCAGCACACTGCCCTTGTCCACAATGCTGCCGCTGACGCCCTGGGCCACCTTCATCTTGTCCATCTCGTTGTGGTAGTAGCGCGACATGGCCGCGCCCTTGGCATCGCCGCGCTCCATGGCCTCCAGGGAGCCCATGCCGCGGTACTTCTTTAGGCGCACGCCATCCGAGAAGAAGTACTCGCCCGGAGCCTCCGATGTGCCGGCCAGCAGGGAGCCCATCATCACGGCGCTGGCGCCCAAGGCAATTGCCTTCACAATGTGCCCAATCGACTGAATGCCTCCGTCGGCAATTACGGGCACTCCGAACTGGCGGGCGTACGTGGACACCTGGTAGACGGCCGTGGCCTGGGGACAGCCGCAGGCCATCACCTCCTGGGTGATGCAGATGGAGCCGGAGCCCATGCCTACGCGAAGACCATCGACGCCAGCCTCGATGAGATTTTTGGCCTGGGCACGGGTTACCACTGGAAAAAGAGAGAGGCATTTAAATTAGTTTTAAGTCGATTTTAGTTTGTTAACTCACGTAGCCCTTTTAAAGCAAATGAAATGTACCCCCATCTCGTGATACTAAAGATAACAATATGGTTGAACCCAATTCATTATTGCCACAATAATGTGTACTTGATCGCCACGTAATTAGTCATAGCGGCAGATAGTAGTAATATAATTGCACTCAAATCTTAATTAGACGACTTTATCTGAAAGCTTTGGGTGCTCTATTTATTTGCTGATTCGGAAAATGTGGAATATGTTGCAGTATATGAATTTTACCTCTATTACTTTATTAGCTCTGCCAAAATTCTCTTTCCCTAAAATATTTATTTATTTGAAATATTGTATTTTTTTTAACACTAAAATTTATAGAATAATATGCAAAATTGTTGCTTTTTACCAAGCTACGAAAGAAATTCAATTCATAAAAACAGCCTATCTAGACTATTGACCCTCAACCATTTTGCATTATTTTAGAAAGCGCCATCTATCGGCTATTTCAATTTTTGCTCATAACTTTTAAATGGTTTGTCCGATTTGAAAATTTTCTTCTACATTTCGAAACACAACAAAATGAAAAATCTGTAAAGATATGGACGCCAGGCTATTTAAAAAAAGTGATTGTGGGCGTTGGAGTGGGCGTGGCTCTCAGCTGAATAAAACAGGCGCTGTCTACAAAACCCAAGAATATGTGTGGCTAATCCTAACTTTCTAGTTTATGTAGTTTCCGAGATCTCATCGTTCATACGGACATGGTTATCGACTTTATAGGGTAGCAAATGCTGCTTTTTACCTGTTACATACTTTCTTCTCTACAAGTAGCGGGTATAAATATAGACTCACCATTGCCGCCGATGACCTGGAGATTCGGATAGGTCTCCTTGATGTACTTGATCATCTCCACCTGGTAGACGGAGTTGCCCTGCGAGGAGTCGAGCACGATGACGTCGACGCCGTTGGCCACCAGGAGGCCGAGTCGCGCCTTGTCCTCCGCCCGCGTTCCGATGGCGGCGCCGACGAGGAGCTGCTTGTTGGAGTCCTTGGAGGCGTTCGGGTAGGAGCGAGCCTTCTTCAAGTCCGTGCGGGCGATCATGGCCACCAGTTCGCCGGCCTGATTGACAATCGGCAGCTTGCCCTTCTTGCTCTTCTCCAGAATGGCGTTCGCCGTGGGCAGATTGATGCCATTGGGGGCCGTGACCAGCTCGGTGGTCATGATGTCGGCGAGAAGGACCTCCGGCTGGTTCTCACGGAAGTCGATGTCCCGCGACGTGACCATGCCCAGCAGCTTGCCGCCCAGCTTGCCGTTCTCGGTGACAGGATAGCCGGTGAAGCCGTTCTTCCGCCTCGCCTCCAGCACATCCCCCACCGTATTCGTGGGCGACATCACCGAGGGGTCGCGCATGAAGCCGTGCTTGTACTTCTTAACCTTGTGCACCTCCAACGCCTGGTATTCCGGCGTGCAGTTGTGATGGATGATGCCAATGCCACCACACAGCTGCGCGCGGGATTCAAATGGATCAAATGGTGGATGGTGATTTTTGGATAGAAACATTGGCGGTTAGAGAGGCGCATAAGAGTGTTGAGTTACAACCACAGGCTAGCACAGCTCAGGCGAACCCGCCAGCGGTTCTGGGCCATGAATGGTATATTATGGTTACTGGATACTTACCGCCATGGCGATGGCCATCTCCGATTCGGTTACCGTGTCCATGGGCGAGCTAACCAGCGGTGCCCGCAAGGTCAGCGACTTGGTCAGCGGCGAGCTGAGGTCGACCTCCTCGGCGGTGAAGTCTATGTAGCCGGGTAAAATGAGAAAGTCGCTATGGGGAGGGTGGGATTTTCATTCAATTAGTCTTCTAGCTGGGTTAATTATAATGAGATGATTTGGGGCTCCAGGATCACTTACTTGTAGGTGAGTCCGTCGCCGTTCTGGAAGAGTTCCCGGCAGCTCAGGCCGTCCTGCAGATTCTCCTCCACCTGGGAATCTTTCGATGATCCCACAAAGCCATTCACCTTCGTCTTGCCCTCCATTTTCCGCGTGCGTTCAACCCGGGGAAACAGTCAACAAACGGGGAGCGTTGACAAAAACAAGCCAGATAGAGATAAACACCGCCGTTTGTTTCGCTTTCGGATGGTCTCCTGTTCTCTAAGGGATTTGCTTTTCGGATTCCTCGGGAGCTTTTGAGACGCAATTAGGCGCACATACACACACACAGAGAGAGAGGCGGCGAGAAAGAGGGGAAGGGAAGACAATTGATATCGGGGGAAAAAGGTTAATTGGACTGCGACCAAGTATAGGATAAGATGCCAGCGAGCACATGGTTGGGAATCTTACCAGTCCACTGGAGTCCAGGTGCCGCGTGCTCACGGGGCGAATGAGGTACGTCAAGTGGTGTGACCGCCGGGCGGCCGCTTAAATACACCCAGGATGCGAGGGAAATACACTAAATATTACCACGGTTCGGTGGGCGATAACGGGGGTCTAACTGAGCTGCAGCCACACTAAGGCGCGCGCTGCCTATCGGTTTCGAATTTAAGTTAACGTTCATAAATTATTGTGGTTACTAAGAACACTAGCTTGTTAAAGAGGAGAATCTATATTGCACATCCTTTTGAAATTACAAATATTTTTTCTATACCTGCATTACCAATAAAATATAATACAAATTACGGCTGTTGTGTTATACGAATTGGTTTAGTTTAGGAAATATCCTAAACAAGATCCATATATAAAAAAAATAGTTCTTCCCTCGCCTTACTTAAAACTCTTGATTTTTCCACCTGATAACCACCAATAATCGAATAGACAACAAGAAATCGAATAAACTTTCGCACGTTCTAGGCACAGTGGTGGTATATTCAAATATTTATGTTTTTTAACAAAATTTGTTTATAATAAGTTTTTATTTGGCAGTTTTAAGGAAATATTTTCCCAGTCTTGTAAATCGTTTTAGAGGTACTGGAATATCACTGCTGGAAATATGCAAATATTCGGGTGGTCGGTTGCATTCCAGATCCATGTTTTTAACGGTATTTGTTTTTGGTAATTTTAAGGAAATATTTTCCAAGTTTTGTAAATCGGTTTGTAGGTACTGGAATATCACTGCTAGAAATATTTGCATTCTATATCCATATTTTAACAGAATTTTTGTGTGGTGATGTTAGGGAAATATTTTCCAAGTTTTGTAAATCGTGTAGGTACTGGAATATCACCACATAATATCACATATCGGTAGCATTCCATATCGATATTTTACAAATATTCGTTTGTAATAATATCTATTTTTTGTTTTCTTCTTTGGTAATTTTAGGAATATAATTTCCTACTTATGTTACCCACATTTGGGGTTAGGTCTGATGATCCTACTGCTGCTGGAGCCAGGCTGCTGCGCGGCGAAAGTAGGAGCAAAGGCAGCCACTGCTCGTGCAGGCCGAGTAGTGCAAAAGGGCCTTGCGCGACATGTAGCAGTGCTCCATGGGACAGTCGACCGGACGACGGCAGTTGTTGAGATGGACCAGCACACCTTTCAACACCGTGCAGTTGGAGACCCGGCAGTTCGATGTGCTGCACTGGTTGGCATGCAGCACCTCGGAATCCAGTTCGGGATTCCTGGAACTAGTTTCATCTGGAAAAGGGGATTCCTGAAGATGGAAACGCTATCGACTGGAGGGAACTTACCAGTTTGCACGCTGGCATTCTGGGATCCATTCGATCCATTCGTTTGAGAACCGAAAATAATCCCCTGAAGAGGATAACAAATAATGCAGGCGGTGTTGCGGCAAGTCTCGTAATGAAACTTGATGCACTTGACGACGACATCGCCTTCATCATTACCAATTGGAGCACCTGCTCCATCGGTTTCCATTTCTGGCTGGGAATGACCGGCACTATTCGGAACCTGAACTCGGGCAACTCCGGAAGACGGATTGACCAATTGTGGTGCTGCAAGTGGAAGAATCGTTTCCAAAGGAAGAATCCATCGCAACTGGTTAAGGGAAACTCACCGCTCTCTGCTCCTACTCCACCAGCCACGTCGTCGATGTCCATCTCGTATTTCATAGTGAAATTGGGAACTTAATTGCGGCTCCAATAATTCCTGACACTTCAACACCGGCTGCGTTAAAAAGAGAAGGATTTAAATCGATATTTGTGGCGCCTCCTGGCCATCGGTGCTATCGATAGTGCCTGCCCAGGGCTGACTGAAACTATCGCCATAGTGTGACCGCACACCGGAAATGCCAGAAATGATTTGCCACTGAAAACATTTATTCCAAATTATTTTATTATTATTTGCCTGACCACTAAACTTATAAGATTCTCTGTGGAAACAGCTCCGCTTAAAATTGCAACAGCGATTTTAGGTGTGCATACGATATTAGTGTGACCGCAATCCAGAAACGCCACTTTACAGTGCGACCATACTCCCCGGTCATATTTAGTGGGTTTCCCGGGGCCCCGGAGTGTATTTTTTTTTTTCGACCGACGGACTTTTAGATGCTCTTTGGCGGTTGGCGCCGCTTGACTTGCCGAAATTTCGACTCTCCAGGCCGAGTGTGTGTGTGTGTGTAGTGGTTGTGCCAGCAGAGTTGTTGCAGAAACTAACTGAAAGCAAGAGCAAGAGACGCGTGGAGAGCAGCAGCCCAATTGAACAGAGGTGAACAAACACGAATAAGAAAAGAAGTAAAGGAAAAACACACCGGGACTCAAGCACTAAAGTAAAATAGCGCAATAGCCAAGCGAAATCGGGTTTTTTTTTCCTCTTCCTCCTTCGCATACATGCGTACCTGGGCAGAGATTCAGATTTACCGCCTCCCCCGCCGCCTACGTTGTTGTTGCTGTCGTTCCGCCGTCGCTCTCACGTAATCCGCCCTCCGCCCCCGCACCACCCCACAAACTGATAGACCGAAAATCGATTAGCGGCCTCTCTTCTTCTTCTTCGGCCACGGCTTCGGCGTTTGTGTGTGCGTTGCGTTACGTTACGGTTACCGTTACGTCGCCCGCGCGTGTCTCTGCCGCCTGCGTGTGTGTGAGTGCGAGTGTGCAAGGTGTGGTGTGTATAGAAAATCGATTGGCAATTTGAACCGAGAGCTATCGTCGCCGCAGTCGCCGCGTGTGCCGTTACGCGATTTTCAACAGATATTGCTTTTATTTTTTTGCCTGTGAAGTCCTCTCAAGTGAGTGATAGAGAGAGAGAGAGAGTGAGAGACGGACTCCTCTAAAGCCTCTAAAAAATACAAAAGAAAAAGATAAAGAAAAACACCGGACATGGATAAATCAGCGGCCACGAACTCGGCCACTGCCGATGGCCAAAACGAGGCAACAGCAGCAGCAGCTGGGTGTGGCAGCAGCAGCAACAACAACGCCAGCAGCAGCAGTGGTAGCAGCACCACCAGCAACAACAACGCCCTGCAGCGTTTGGCAACAACAACAACAAGTGCCGTTGTGGCATCCCCAATGACGACGATCAACCTGAACATCAGCACCACCACCGGCGGCAACTTCGGCGTCAGCGTCGAGCCGCACATCAGCGTCGAGAGTCTGAAGAAGATCATCGCCAAGAAGCTCAAGGTGGCCAAGGATCGCATCTGTCTGCTGCACCGCGAGAAGTGAGTACAAATTCTTTTGTAGGATGGTTCAATCCCAATTAACCCAGACCTCCCGGTCTATAAGGCTTTAATCCTAGAACATTGTCAGTTTTTCCAATTTTCCCAAAAAGTAACTCTAGTAAATTAATATTTTAAAATACAAAAACAAAATGTTGTGCACCTACGTTTTATATAAAGAAATCGAAAATATTTAGCTTTGGAACACTATTTTCACTAAGAATTTTGACTAGTTTATAGGGCTTTTTAAAATTTTCCCAAAAACTATTCTCTATTAAATAAACATTTTAAAATAAAAAATTTTTTTTTTTTGTGCACATACGTTTTATATAATAAAATCTAAAATATTTAGATTAAATTATTGAGACACTATTTCCAATATCACTAATTTAAACTAAGATAGCCAGTTTTCAAAGTTCTAATATTCCTTTATGTTCCCAATAAGAATAGATGGAATCGCACACTCCACTCCCTAGTGCAAAACTCACCCCTGAAAAATTGTGACAAGTGTGTCACTTGCAAATTGCCATGAATTTCTTATGATTGTGCCAATGAGGTAATATCTACGCAGAAGGAATAACTGATAACGTTTCGAAATAGATTTTAATCTTGCAAGTCAGGTTGAAAGTTCAGTATTTCTTTCAGTTTTATTTTTTTATTGAAATTCCATCTTGGTGAATAACCGCTGTTGCGTTTTGCCAACTGTTTCGATCCCCTGGCGATTGTATTATAGTTTTAAACAGATGTTTTTAGCAGCTTAAAAGTTATCAACAGTTTATTTTTAAAGATTGGGTTACTGAAGGAATAAAGAATCTATTTTTGCTAGGGTATTGAAACTTCGGCTTCCTTAGAGTTTAGTTAAGTGCTTTTGATTATCGTTTATGTTATCTTTTTTCGCAGCCCCGCCCCCCCGGTAGCGCCCCTTTCTAACCCCTTTGTTGAGCTTTGTTAGAGAAATAGAGATGTGTGTGTGTGTGTTTAGTCGCCAAGCTGCCATTGTTTAGTTGATTTGCTCGCTGTTCTCGTTATTATTATGATTATTATTGATATAACCTCCAAAATAATGGCATGTTTGAAGGGTTAAGCACAAAGAGCTCGAGTGTATTGGTAGTTGATCTAAACACACGCACACACACACACAGCTCGCCAGCGATTTCATAATCAATTTGTTATTTATACAAAACAACGCAAAAAAAAAGGCAAAATTAAAGTGTAAAAATATGTGCGCATAACACAAAACCGGCAAAAAAAAAGCAACACAAAAAACGGTACAACAAAAAAACCAAACAAAAACAGAAGCAGCGGCAGAGGCAGAAAATGAAAAGCCAAAGGAAAATTAAAAAGAGAGAGGGAGAGGGGGCAGCGCAGCCAGCGCCGACGTCATTGTTCCAACTAGTTGCATTGTGCTGTTAACAGTGAAATGTTAGCCGCAACTGTTAATGTTAATGCAGCTGTTAGCCTCACTGTTACTATTACGACTTCTGTTACATTTTTTATTTGGACACAAAAATAGGGTTCGAATACAAATTCCTCCCGAAATCAAACTCTCGAAAATATTCTAGTTGACATTTTTTATCGATTCGAAAGTGTTAAGTTTTAAAGGGTTGTCTGAAATGTATATTTATGAAGTTACATTTTTATATTTCTTCTAAAACGCGTGATCCAAACGTTCAAATCTGCATTTTTCATTAAAAAATCTCAATGCTGAAACTTTTTTAAGAATTAATTTATTTTAAAAAAATCTCTTTCATTTCAGATTGGTAAATCTTGAAATGTGGGAATTAGTAAAGTCAAGAGTTGTTTTTGAAGGGCCTGCATTCCTTTGGCTTGGTTATCGTGCATGTGTGTATTGGTGCACTACAGAGGCTTCGCAACAATGCGGGCTTCTCTCTCCCTCGCCATCTCTCTCTTTTGCATCCCGCTCTCTGCTGCATTTATTTCTGCAAATAGATTTCTAATTGAGAGGAGTGACCGCCCTTCCCCTTTTTCTTGGTTTCTGCCTGCTCCGCCTTTGTCTGGCTGGTACTACAAAAAAAAAATCAAAAAAAAAAAACTTGACTGATAAGAATTTCTCCTTTGCCTCTTCTTCGCCGTGTGTTGTTGCATCTGTTTTATGCCACTTTGCAGCAAGCAACAAAAGCAAATGGGCAATGGCGTGGCGTCACGGTTTTTTTTTATTTTTTACTCTCATCTCTTGCCGCTCGTTTTTTGTTTTTGTTGTTGCTGCTTCCACTTGAAGTTCTTTTTCATCTTCCTCTGCGTTTCTACGCGTGTGTGTGTGTGGCAGAGATTTTTGTGCCCGCTTCTCTTTGTTCTGCAATCAAATCGCTGCTTCTTCCTTCTCTCTCCCCCACTTTTGGCCTCTTCTTCTTGCGCCTCTTCTTCTTCTTCTTCTTTGATGATGATGATGTTGGCAGGCTGCGCTTATCGGACATTCGGAAAATGGACTCTCCTCGTCTCTTCAGCTTCTTCTTCTTCTTTGTCTGAATGTCATATGTTGGCTTATAACCCTAGCAACAACAACAACAAAAGGAGCAGAAAGCAGAAGAAGAATGACAAAAAACAGAGGACGAATAAGAAGAAGAAGCCATAGATGCCACCCCCGCCAAATAAAGTAGATATAGACTGATGCGGAAAACCTACCACCCGGCTAAGCAAAAAAGCCTTTCGGTAAAAGCTTATTCACACCACCAATATTTCCCAAAAGGAGGAAAAAACACCCGCCCGCAGAAAAAGCTGAAGCAGAAGTGGAGAAAGAAGAAGCCACCACCAGCTAAAGGAAGTGGCAGATGAGGAAAACCTACACAAAAAGAAAAATCATACAGAAAATCTAAAAAAATCGAGGCCTGAGATAGTATCTTAAAACGTAAAATTCCTAGTTAATCTTATAGACAAAAAGTTAACTAAAGTTCTACATAAGAAAGAGGTCAAGATTCGACTCCCTCCGCTAACCAGTGAATTTTTTCCTTTGGACACATTGATATCAAATTGAACTTTCATAGATCATCGTATTATATCAGCTTTTCTTTCTGTGTCTGGGCAGCGAAAAGGCAAAATGTTGCACACATCACTGAATGAGAATGGGAATTTCGTGCTGCATGCAAAGTCACCACCATCCGAACTGGTAAATGAATGACGAGAGGCGTCCAAACACCACCAAACGCGAATCTCCAGGTCACCAAATATATATCTACTATCCATATCACTGGCGTGGAAAAAGGTGGCCGACCACAAGGAAACTGGCCAAATGGAAAATACGGTGGAAAAGCGGGAGAGTATCTGTTCGAAGGGCCAACCCTTTAAAACACGTGGTCTTTATGATAAACCTGATTTCAATTATATTTTAAGAAAATTGAAGCTATTGAAAATATGATTTTGAAAATTTGTAGAAGTATAAAAAACAGGAATCATATATTTTGTTAAATTTCTAAATCTCCTTTAGATACATTTAAGAAATTTTCTATACTCAAATTTTTAATATACACAAGATAAGGCCATAGCTATACCCCATTAAAAAGTTATGTTCCTTTGTCTTTTGCAATATCAACCCTTTTAACACGTGGTGGTGAAAGAAACCTGAACTGAACTGTTTCCATATAAACAAGAAACCGGATTTCAAGTCAAACCCATACAAAAGTAACATAATATTGAAGTACTAGTGAAACAGCCCAAAAGCCACTTATATAGATGCTCACAAATTAAATAAAACTGATTGCGTTGTGCCAATCCAGATAGCTATCAGAGAATAAAGCCAAAGTAAATAAAACCCGCATTAGTCCGATTAGTAAAGTTCGATATATTATGAAAAAAAATGTACAGAGTAGCGCGAATAGAGGAGAAATAATGTCGTATCAGAATAATGCAAACAGATTAGATGTCCCCATTCCTATCAGGCTAGCCCCTTGCCCCGACCCATCCCATTCCACCCCCCGATTAGTGGCGCACTCCCAAGGTGTGTGCTATATAGTATGACATAAGCCCAAGTCCCGCTCCCCACGCCCCATATGTCACCTTAGGGTTCTTCAGATAGTGCTACGTAATTGTATAAAGCAACGCACACGCAAACACCACCTCCACCTCCGCCTCCCATGATTTCGCTTGGCCCTGGGGCCTGTATTATCAACAGTTTTAATTTTAGTATGCGCTTTTTCCTCCGTCTCTCTTCATAATTTTAATTTTAAAGCCAGAGGAAATAGGTGGGGCATCCGACAGAGCGAGGGGAATCGGAATCGGTGATGTTTCGGGGCCCCATTGCCCATAGAGACGTCATCAACTAGCGGCGCGTGTGTTTTTACCTTCTGCCTACAGTCAAACTCGTCTAACTCGAACTATAAGCTGCGCATAAAACAAAAAGTTCAAATATCATGGCATTTAAAAATTTTTTATTTAAATATTTTTTTAATATAATGAATTAGAAAAACAAAAACAAAATAGTTTCTATTAAAAACTATTCAAAGAAAAATATTATTCAATGATCATTGATCTTCGAATTCTTCTTCAATTGAAATTAAAGAAATGTTTGGTTATGATTTTTGTGATTTTTTTTGGTGGGCCCTGTGTTCACTCACATGTTGAATTTTGGCTTTTGACGCATGTTGAGTTGAGCCCACCGAGTTGAGTTTCTTGGGCCGAGTGGTGGGTTTTGGCCGCGTTTTTGGGGCTTGCCTTAGTGGCTAGCTCGCTCTCTCTCCGTGTCTCTCCAATTATATCCCTCTCGCTCAGGTGGTACTGCTTTTATGGTTTCAGTTACGAAAGGTTCCTAAATGATCTTTGTTCTTATCTGACATGTTTGATCAAACTTCACTGGGTTGGGTTGTTTTGTCATGGGTTAAGGGTGAAAACGAGGCACATTTCTTTGTTGCCTTTGCTGCGCAGTTCTTGGTTGCTTTTTTATTTATTATTTTACGTTGTTGATTAGGCGGCGAGAAGAGATCTTGTTTGGAATATGTATGGACAAGCGTGCTTTGTTCTGCTGCGCTGCTTTTGCTTTTGCTTTGCTCATT